AGTAATTGTAACTCATGTGCTATGTTAGGAAGAAAAAGGTGATATGGACGGAATGGACTGAAAATTTTAATAATGCTTGGTTTCCAGTTTTCAGCATCTGACACTAAGCCATTTCCTAGACACTGCCACAAAAGAAATAATATTGAGGCCAGCTAACCAGTTGAAATTGCATTCTTATACAAATATGCTGATCACTGATTGCATGAATTGATGCTTATATTTTAGTTTGTTGTTAGGATTATATTAGAGATCCAGACAGGCGATTTGCTGCTGATACTGTTGCTGCTATTGGTCAATGTGTGCAACGACTTCCAAAAATGACACATATATGTGTTGATGGGCTGTTGGCTCTGATTAGAAAGGGTTTGTTCCTCTTTCCTACTTGTTGTCTAGTAACATTCCGGAGAATTGTTTCTTTGTATTTTGAAGTGATGCTGAATTTTGCAGAGTTCTTGACTAACGATTTTGGTTCTGGAGATCAAGAAGCGGGTGTTTTGGTTCAGGCAATTATGTCTATAAAATCAATCATAAAGCAAGACCCACCAAGTCATGAGAAGGTGTCCTTCTCTTGCTTGTTTCATGTTAAGCTTTTGCTGCCTGTTTCTGCTTTCCTCTTTGTTTATTTTGGCTGAATCTTTAAATTTTTTGGAGCAAAGTAGAGTCAAGCACAAAAAAAAAGGACAAGGATAATATATAACCCGGAGTGTATTTCGCTTTGTGGAGGATATTCCTCTTGCCAGCTGTTCATGAAGTTTATTTCTACTTGCATTTGTTACAGCTTTATGTGTTTGTTTACTGTTATTTTTGTTGGTAAGGTGGATTTAATGTGATGGGCTGCTGCAGTGGTGCTTTATGTTATGCTTCTTCGTCACTCTCTCCAACTTTCTAGCTTCTTTACTAAGCTTTGCAGTCTTTCCACAGGTTCATTTTAGTTGGTTGATAATTGACCTCTAATTTTTTTTTTATTTGAAGGTTATAATTCAGTTGGTCCGTAGTTTGGATTCAATCAAGGTGCCTGCAGCTCGTGCAATGATTATTTGGATGGTGGGAGAATACAGCTCTTTGGGGGTCATAATTCCAAGGATGTTAACCACAGTGCTGAAATATCTTGCATGGTGCTTTACTTCAGAATCATTGGAAACAAAGCTTCAAATTCTTAACACTGCGAGTAAGGTATTTCCAAGGGCCATGATATTCTCCTTTGTATTATGCTATAAATGCTTCCTCTGTAATATGTTCCATTTGCCATTCGTATATGTAGAAATAGTTTTAGTTTAACACTTGGAATCCTGTGCTACTCCCTTCAATACATGAGAAGATGTTTTAAATTGACTCTTCGGACACTCATGTTTTGAAGACCATTCATTTATTATTGGAGTCTTCATATAGTGAGAGGATTGTTAATGGCAATAGAAGTGGACATGTGGCTAAGATTTTATCACCAGGCTTTTTCTTCCAAATGAAATGAAATGAAAGAAAATGAAAACTTGGAAATTTGGTCATGATTTCGTGGCCTACAGATGCAAACATTAGACTGATGGGCAAACTGGATATTTACCTCTGTCTGTGCGGCCTAGCTTGTTATATACATTAGCATCTAGGCCTTTTGAGTTCTCTAGGGGTAACTAATATTGTTTCCACTGTTAATTGACCAAGGAGATCTACCAAATTAATTTTTGTTTGGAATAAAGAATTATGCATTATATTCTGGTTTCTTTTAATGCCTGGTGATTCTGGTGCTTGTCACTAAGCCATTCCAGTTCTTTCCTTACCCACTAAGTTAACTTGGGCATTTTTTGCTGTCACATCAAGATATTCTTGATCAATTCTAGAGTAGCCCCGGTCTAATATTTCTGCAAAAAGATAGTCTTTCAGATTATTCATTTTATGCCTTACTTATGATGTGGGATGGAGGTTGTCAGTCAGGTCAAGTTGCAGTAAATAGCATATCATATTAAGAAATCAGGCATCAAAATTGTTACTGTTGCATGTTATTATTAATTCATTGTAAATTTTGTAGTTTATCAGTTGTTTTGCTTGCTTGGTTTTAATGTTCAGAGAAAATACCTTTACTTCTTAGTTATATGCACTTGCAGGTTCTATTAGGTGCAACAGGAGAAGATCTTTGGACATTCAAGAAAGTTTTCAGCTATTTGGTTGAATTGGCTGAATGTGATTTGAACTATGATGTCCGTGACCGAGCTCATTTCCTAAAGAAACTTCAGTCATGCAATTTAGTTTCTCGAGGACCAGAGGAAGGAACAAATGGTCTTCCTGAAAAAGACCTGCATGTAGTTGCAGAATACATATTTGGGAGACAAAGAAGAGACGTGAAAGCTGAATCAATTAATTACCGGTTTTATCTACCTGGGTCTCTCTCACAGATAGTTCTTCATGCAGCTCCAGGGTATGAACCTCTCCCAAAGCCTTGTAGTTTGCTCCCTGATGACCTGAATGTGCCTGAAGGAACATGTTCAATTAAGAAGGGGGCGGCTGATTATGGTGGGACAGATGGTTATGGCACATCATCTGGTTCTTCAGATGACGAAGAGGAAAGTGCTTCTGCTTATGGTTCTCAGCGCTCTATCACTGGCTCTAGTGGCGGTAGTCGTGGTGATGACAGTGAATTTACAAGTGAAGGCAATGATAATGTGGATCCATTGATTCAGATTTCTGACATTGGCAATGCTTCTGAAAATGAGAATGGAGTTTCTCAGTCTTCTACTAATCTGGTGGAATTAATGTCAAATAGAGCTCTAGAGTCATGGTTGGATGAACAGCCTGGTTCATCAAACCCAGGCATATCAGAACAAAGTAAAGTCCGTAAATCATCGGCAAGAATATCTATTGGGGATGTTGGAAGGCGGGTTAAGCCAAAAAGTTATTCACTCTTAGACCCTGCAAATGGAAATGGTTTGAAGGTGGATTATTCTTTTTCATCAGAAATATCAAGCATATCCCATCTACTTGTATGCATAGAAGTTTTTTTTAAGAACTGTTCATCAGAGACCGTAACTGAAATAACTTTGGTTGATGAGGAGTCTAACAGAGCCTTAGATTCTGCAGACCAAGCTTCTGTTGTAGATGAGAGGTGATTTTGCTGTTACATCTATGATTATCTGTGTAGTTTTCCAAATTTCATGTTTATGCATCTTTCACTAATTATTTGATTGCTTAATTCTGGAAAAGCTCTATATTATTGTTCCTAGAGATGTTCATATATTTCTATCACCTTGTTGTCCAATATAATAGCTCAATTTGTTGCAGGTCACGCCATGATTTATTTATTATGAAATATGTCAGTAATTAAAGAGTTGAAAGTAATTTACAAGCTCAACTAAATGCACTCTGATTCAATTTGGTCATCTAAATTCTTTTTATGAGAGACTAGTTAAAGTATCTCTTTTGAAGAAGTTCTAGCTTATATTCTGCTGTTGGAGGTTCCACTTTCTTAGTTTCAATGGTGGAGTTTGACCCTTCATCCTTGTTTATCTTATTGCCATGATATGTGATTATAGTAATTTACTCCAAATAAATAACATTTTTATTTGAAATGTATAGTTGGAACATGTGGATTTCTACAGTTTATAAACTATGGTCCATACTTGGAAGTTAGAGGTCAGGGTTATTAAAGTTGCTTTATTTCCAGTGTATAAATATAGTCACTTCTGAGTGATTGTCAGTGGTATATGCCTTTGTGGGGCTTGTATGATCTTTTTGTTGTTCAAGATGTAGTCTTTTCATGCCTTAAGCACTGCTCTATGAGTCCCTAATTTCTTGATACTGCAGCTCCTTGTTATCTTATGATAATGTGCCAACACTAGTTCCAATGGAAGAGATTGCTTCTTTAGAACCTGGTCAGACAACAAGCAGGATTCTTCAAGTTCGCTTTCATCACCATCTATTGCCTTTGAAGCTAGCTTTATTTTGTGATGGGAAGAAGCTTCCTGTTAAGTTGCGGCCTGATATTGGATATTTTGTAAAGCCACTACCAATGGATGTTGAAGTCTTTATGGATAAAGAATCTCATCTCCGAGGGATGTTTGAATACACAAGGAGGTTACTCACCTCTTAGCTTGTTCTTTCTGCCGGATATCTTAACAATCTTCTCTTAAAATTATCTTGGAAATTTGATTTCTCCTCTTCACATTATATTTTAAAATTAATAGTTGTCTTGTTTCTTTGCTTTTTCAATTTTCTTATTGCACAGCGTGCCTAACTGGATTTTCTTGCCTTATGTATAACAGTTGCACTTTCACCGACCACATTGAGGAACTAAACAAGGAGAGTGGAGATAGCTTGTTAATCAAAGACAAATTTCTTGCAATCTGTGAGAGCTTAGCACTAAAAATGCTTAGCAATGCTAATCTTTGTCTTGTATCTGTTGATATGCCCGTTGCCACTAACCTAGACGACGCATCAGGTTTGCGCTTACGGTTCAGCTGTGAAATTCTGAGTAGTTTGATTCCTTGTTTAATTACCATTACTGTTGAAGGTAAATGCTCTGATCCATTAAACTTATCCATCAAAGTTAACTGTGAACAAACTGTATTTGGCCTAAATCTGTTAAACAGAATTGTAAATTTCTTGGTTGAGTGTGTCCTTTTTTAATCATTTTTGGCGGTTATGGTGAGATCTGTGGGCCCTGTCAAAGCTTGAAGACTAATTGAGACCGTTGTTCAGCATGAGTGGATGCATTTTTAACTCATTGCATTTATTCTGAATATTTGAAGTTGTACAACTCTGTATTGCTCTGTTTTTTTTTTCAAAATGTCTGAGTTTATATTCTTAGTGCAAGTTCTTTTCTCTTAAATCCTTGATATAGTATAATTTCTGTTTTGGATGTCGTGCTTTCTACTTTTCTTCAGCTTCTTTTAGCAGAGTTTGCAGCAATTTATTATTCCTTATTAATATACCATTTCTAATGTCTTCTGAGGACCCTACTGTTTCCTTCCAAAGGGAACATACGCAAATTTGTAGAACTTAGAATATGCTGAATGAAAATGACAATTGGCAATGATAAGGTCAACATTGCAAATTATTGAAATACTATGTTGAGATCTCATTTAATTCCTCAAACTGTTTTGCAGAATCTTAGCTAATGCCTTTGATCTTAAAGTTGATCTTAAATTTAATTCCTCGCATGTGCCATTGCAGAAGCTGAGGCACCAAAATTTTCCTAGAAAAACTACAAATATCTGTTACAAATATCTTTGCTAGAAAAACTACATCATTCTGTTCCTCTCTTGTTCTTTGTTCATTTTCAGTTATAAGGGCAGCAGATAGCGGAACTCAGATTCATAATGCTGAACTTCAACCATTTTTGTCATTAGTGATTTTGTTTCTTTGTTTAGGCATTCCATTATTAATCTTTTCAGAGATGCAGAACTTGGCAACTGGCTATAGATCCATTCTAGTAGTGATTCCATATCATCCGCAAAATCTCGCATGTGCCATTGCAGAAGCTTAGGCACCAAAATTTTCCTCTTGTCTGTAACTCCCACCGAAGCTTCCAAATATTCCACCCTTGCCCTCCCCAATTCATCCACTACTTCGTCTGCTGTATAGATCCTTAACTGCATATCACATCTTTTTTTTGTAAATGAGTTGAATTCACTCGTAATTCAGGATAGATGGATGATAGTTTGAATGCTAGTAGTAAAATATCAACACACTTACTGCCGGTGAGGACCAGCTGCCTCGGCAAAGAGCAAATGTTACATTGGGTTCTGGGTACCCCAAACCATATGCATGCCTAAGTAGCATTTCCTTCTCATCCATGGGACCCTTGTAAGTGAGAAATGAATCAACAAGTAGAAGGTAAGTGTTAGAACTTACAATAGGCACCCAAGTAGGACATTTTTCTTTAATTAACTTTTGAGAATCACTTGATTGAGATTGAAGTTGAGATAGAATCTCAAGACCTTGTAACATTTTTCTCTCTACTGGGTAGTGAAAGACTTTGGAGTAGAAACCTTAAAATGCAAAGTTAAAGCTCATTGGATTTTCAGCTATATATCTTTGATAGTCTCATTATTAGGTGGAAACTATGCAAGAAGTAAATTGTAGTTAATATGTATTTCACTCACATATTTTGATTCACATGGATGCCGAAGAATAAAATGCTCAATGGCTAAAGCATTCAGCACTATACCACCCACATTGAGTGCAGCCTGGATCAGAAAGTAAAAAAGTTATGCTACGGCAACAAAAATTAATTAGTTTTGCTACAGAAATTAAGGTATACTATTGGCTACTGCCTATAAAATTTTGATTTTAGTTTTTAGACCTTGCTGAAGTTCATGATAATAGTGTGCCAGAATAACTTACCTTGTTCATAAGTGCTAGTAACTTTTCTTGAGTGGAAGGTAGCCCATGTTCAAGAAATGCCTGAAATTGATCAAAGTAGAGTTGCTTTAGATTGCTGCTATGCTCAAATGATGTTGCATTTTGTGGTTTAAGGTGTTGTACAGTACATGCATAATACAGGCATTGTAGATATTGATCCAAAATGCTAGCTTCTGCTTGTAGGTTAAGAAAGTCACGTCAATGTTAGATAATTTATGCATCAAAACCCTGAAAAGGAAAATAGAGAGGACACCTAAGTTAGATGCTGTTCTTGTTTTGTTAGTGGATGATTGCTGGTTTAACTTCATTAACCAGGCCTACCTCAACTTTCCAATTGCTTCTAAGCACTCTGAGAATCGACTGACATCCAATGAGCGCCTAGTTATTTGGATGAAGTTCTTGTAAGGCCCGACGTCTCTTATAATCCCCTCTAATTCTGGCAGTATGCCATAAGGATCAATATTCGATGTATTTTGATTGAGAGGAAACAAGGGTGATTTGAAGTTAAATGAGGGTTTTGCTATGTAGCCTTTTGAAGCCATGCAGGAGAAACTAAGCTTTGGAACAATGGCCGACCCTTCTTTATCTTGTGACGGTTGGTTTAATTCAAGAAATATGCCTATCAGGCATTTTACCAGTTCTTCTGAGAGTGCATTTGGTTTCTCATAGATATTTTCTTTGCTGACAGGGCAATGATTTTGGATTCTCCAGGTATGTTTCTTTGATCCCTCATGAAATTCTCCTGCTTGGAATACCCAAAACCATAAAGAGAGCCTGTAAATTTTGAAAATTTTCAGATTGTAACAGTGAATACAAGGAGAGCATACCAGTGCATTCTGAGGAAGACAGGCTTAGGATATCTAATGCAGAACCCATAGAGCCTTTCCTGCGACTTTTTATTGTCCCTTTTCTGAATACTTCATAATTCTGCGATCTTGTTCGTTGTTTAAGATCATCATCATTGCCTGGATCACATGTTAATTGATCCTGCTGCCGTAGCTGCTGTAATTGCCGCATTTTCCATTCCTTAGTCTCCTTTTTCTCCTGATACAATTTCATTTTCAGCTCATCGATCTTTCTCTCTAGCCATAGTATCTCTTCCTCGACCATTGCTAGTTCAGCAAGAAGTGCCTGAACCTGCATAAAAACAACCCGGCTCGTAAGGTAAATTCGACTGATTCATCCGTATTCTTTAGCATCTACATACTTGCTCTTACTTGAGGCGGAAGCAATGAGGAAACCAGTCGTTGTGATAACATTGGCCCCTGAAGCGCCCGGCGCAAAACCCTGTTGACTTCTTTCTCCTCATCTAATTCTGCTTGCAAGTTATCCACCTGTCGCATATAAACCCAGGTCACAACTGTTAATTTTCTGCTAACTTTTATGCCAAGTTATTGATAAATTCTCACCTCTTCTTGGAGCTCAAGCTTTTTATTCTCCTTCTCGCTTCGTTCCATTAAAAAGTCTTCGAACTTCATCTTCTTCTTAACCGCTTTCAGCCCTTAAATTGAGCAATGATGATAGCAATATTTAATTGAAGTTACAGAGCCAGAGGTTCCTATACCCTATTAAAATATAGATAGGAAGAGAGAACGAGCGAGAGAGAAAGGTTGAATTTCGCAGGTCGTGGTTGCCATTAAAGGTAGGTAAAAGAGGGATGGAAGCCAATCCAATCAGAGGGAAAATGTGGGCGGTGTTGCGGTGGAAGAATCGTTGGGTGTGATTGGGGCGGTGAGTTGTGAATCGGTGTTGGGTGCATGGCCATCACATGAACTTATTTAGTTATTGGAGAGAGAGAGAGGTAACGTTTATTAATTATGGAAAGTGACGGTATATAAACTAGAGACGTGAAGTCCATGAACAGTAAAGATGTTCGGATCTTCAAAATTTTCAAAAGAGGAAGTCTTGTTTTTATGAGATTACAATCTTAACTTGGGCTGGTTTTAACTTACACTTTAATTGGTAAGAAGGAAAAAGTTTAATGTTTCTCTTTTAAGAATTAGATTTTTTTTTATTAAAAAAAAATTGGAACTTTATTTTTCAGCAGACAAATTATGTTTAAATTATCAAAAAATCTAGTTTGAGATTAGATTATGAATCCATTTTGATAGGAAAGTAAGGATAAAAAATGTGCTTATAAACTTGTCAACTCTCAATTGAATAATTATAGTTAAAATATTTTTCAATTTTTTTTTTCATCAAAAGAGAGGAATAGGAAAAGAAAAAGTAGTTGATTATCTCTTAAATTAGTTAATATATCATGGAAATTTGACACTTGAAAATTACATGTTTGAGGGAATTTATGTATATAATTTTTTTTTTTCAATCAAATTAGAAATTTCTAAAACAAAAATAAAAAAGCAGGTTGATTAGTTGAAACACGGGTAGGAGAAGGACAAGGAATTGTTGTTGACCGGGCACTGCCTCTCGCTGTCTATCTCTCTCGTTAGATGGTGAATCGGTTCGGTAGTTGATAAACCGAAAAATTAGCTCCTGAGGTGTTTTCCTCCCCCCTTAAGAGTACTTCAGAAGTGTGAAACTAAAAGCGAGAAAAAGCCAGAAAGTTAAAGCTGAAAAAAAAAATATTCCCCACAAATTTCGCCGTCTGTGGGAATCGAACCCACGACCACGTGGTTAAAAGCCACGCGCTCTACCGGCTGAGCTAAGACGGCTGGACATTGTTATTTCTTAAGTAATCATTAAATCAAATATTTAGGTATAAGGGGCAGTATAACTATTTTTAGTATAAGAAGATAATGCAATTATAATAAAAACAGAGAGAAAATGACCCTTTTAACTATTAAATCAAATATTTTAGTATTATTATTAAGATGTATAAGAATTGTTGAATCAAAAGAAGAAAAATTTTCTAACTCTTCCCAATCAAGAATATTTATTCATAATAGTTTAAACTTTAAAAATATTGATAAACTATCAAACCATCCAAATACCATTCCAATTATCAAAACGAAAATCATTTGCTTAATAATGCTTTTTGGTGGTCATCCTAACATTAGACAATTTGATTGTTTCTAATGTAATATTAATGCCTTTTTCAATTTTTTTGGATGTGAGAGACTTATTATTATTATTATTATTATTATTATTTTGAAGAATTTTTTGGTAATCATCATAATTGAGGGACTTGTTCAAAGCAGAAAGATTGGTTTGGAAAAAAAAAAATTAGTTAGTAATGATAAAATGAAGAATAAGGTAAAAGGATCCTCAAATTAAAATAACAACAATTTCCTTAATATTTAAGGAAAAATCCACAGCTAAAATAAACACAAACTATTTTACAACAATTTCAAGCTAAATTGACAAATAGTTGAAGCAAACTAAAAGCTGCTTTCCCTCCAACCTCCATACTCTTCTTCATCGGTTTCCTCAGCCTGTAATAAAATCAAAACAAAAAGGACGCCAAATCACAAATTATAATGCTTTACATGCCCTTCCACATTTCTCATTTTTCTGTGCCAACTTTCTTTACCATGAAAGAAAAAAAATGGAAAATTATTTCCTTTGTGCTGTGTTAGAATGATTATTGTCCTATATTTTATCGGATAAAAATAATAAACAAAGTTAGATGGTTATGATATGTTCATTTTAATAATTAATTGACTTGTTAATTTTCATAGATATGTTCTAATGGGATATTGGACACATGTCGCTAAGCAATAAATCAAACAGATTTATGTATTTGTATTGTGTAAAATATAAAAAATCATATATTTCTCTCATATTTTACATAAAAATTATGTGTCATAATTTATATTAATATGAAAATATAAAATTTTTTTTTTTCATTTTGTTAAACCCATAAATAGATATTGTTAAAATTTTAAACCATATCTCTATGTTTTTTTTTTCATGCCATGTTTATATCATGTCATTCTGTCATGTTTTAAATTGTCAAGTCTAACCACCAACATATAAGATAATTTTGAAAATGTTTTTTATACAAAGGAGGTTATAATCTAATATAGATAAGCCATTGTAAGTATTTAGATTTGAATTTCAATCTTATTAAATATCAACTCTCTCTCTCTCTCCGGCTACATGAAGATGGGATTAAAAGGCTAAAAGACAGATTAGTCATTTCTATTTACAAACGGAGCAAGTCATTGTCATAAGTTATGAAAGAGAAATACCTTTCGGGTGAAAGTAGCACCAACTTCAATCTCTCCACAATATCTTTGATCAGCACGTACTACTCTGTATTTACAAGGATGCAGTTCAGCATTCCCTTTTTCTGCTCCAGTCGCTAACAAATCCTTGACATATATCCTGCATACGTACGGAAAAGTTTTATGAATCATAATGGAGAAATGTCACCTTTCCTAATGCCATCAGCTGCTCCTTTCGATTTCATTCCATCACTTTCTTGGAAAACAAACATGTTAGGATTTTATTTACTCGCTTAAATTGAATATCCATTACTCTCCCTTTAATGTTAGGATTGAGAATTTTGTATTTTATATATTCATACGATACTTGGGATTAGAATTATATGCTTGACGAACTATCAACCTATGTTATCCGACTATTTATTTTTCATGAAGTACCCATATTTGACACATAACCAATGGACATGTATGAAGGTTTGACCCCCAAAATATAAGGAAAAATTTTGAAAAATTCAATGTTTGGATGGTGAGAAAAATGTCAATATCATACGTGGCTTGGCCAACAAAGTCATCAGAAGAGAAGGTGTCCTTGTCCATGATTGTAAGAATGATCTTGTAGTCATCACCTGACCCTGGATACTCCACCATGAATGTAAACTTTTCATTCCATGATGGCCTGGAACCACCACCTGCACCATCAACTGTTACTTTAGGTAAATATGTCAAAACTACCAAAGCATAATACAATAGAAACAACAATTTCATGTCTCTTTCAACCAGGCTGCTGCTGCTTAGATTTGTTTTTGATGCAAAGATCAAATACTAAGCACTGATGGAAAGAACTGGTGATATAGGTCAACTACTGATATATGCATTAACTGTACTATTTGACAGCAAGAGTTTTCTTCTATGGCATTGTCATATTTCTTGAAATTTTCTTACACGAACCTGTTTCTTTTTTTATATGGCTTAATATATAATTGGTTTAACCAAGTATTCTACTCTGCAGTCAAATTTATAGATGGATTTGAATGATTGATGATCGATTAACTATATGTTTTTTCTCTCTTTCTTTCCTTGGTTTAAGACAAATTAGACCAATAATTGTGTTCTAAGAAATTTCTTTTTTAAGCATAAAAGGACTCCTTGAGTTTTGTTCGATGCATCTCCTTTTCGTATCAATTCAAGCAGATTTATATCTAGCAAATGCATGAAAAATTACCTTCTTATAACGTTTTAGTAGATTCAAACCCCCCCCCCCCAAAAAAAAAAAAAAAAAAAAGACAGATAAGCACTTCACTAGTTAAAAATGCCTGTAAATGAACCTGTCCTAATAAATGAATCCCCATATTTGTATCTCACCCTCTGTCGACTAGGTACTATCCAGGGCAATGGTCTTGTTTTTCCCTTTTTTTTTTTTTTCCTTCTATTGGATATATATCAATGTTTAACCAACATAAATTGCAGAGAATAAGAAATGAGGAAAAGAAATAATAACCTCTGATGACGCTGCTTTTGTGCTCTTGACCTTTGTATTGAATTATAACATATGGATCCATTCGACCTAATCATACATCACAATCATCAAAAACAAGAACAATAAAAATCTATAGTTCCACAATTCACATCATCAATCTCACTCTTGTACCAATCACCTAAATAAAAAGGCTTTTTCCAGACTTCAATTAAAAGATTTTAGCATTTTTACTGTAGGATGTTTATTTAATTAACAAACTTTAAAATATTATTCATGATATTTTGTTAACTTTAATAAACAAATAGAAATCGAATTTATTCACGAACTGTTTCATTTACACTTTGATTTAAATAAATCGAACTGTGATTAGATTCTATATATGTAAAAAAATAAGAAAAAAGCTTAAAAAATACACCCTTGTCTAGATCTTAATTAAATTAACAATGAATATATAGAATTAAGGAATCAAAACAGCAAGTAATTAATCCATTACTGTATAGAAAAGGAATAGAAGGAAATATTCCTTATAAAACAAAAAAAAAAAATCAAAAGCAACCCAGAAATAGCTCATCTTCATCCATCAATGCTAAGAACATTATTCATCATCCAAATTCAATTTTCTTTCTTTCTTTTCTGTCTTTTTATTTTCCCTCTTCTCTAGACAAGAACAGCAAAGGGTTTCCATTTAACAGAAGTTTTGGCATGATGAAACCTTGAAAAAGCTAAATTCAGAAAAGAACGATGGGCAAGAAAATGAAAACATGAGAACATAGACTGATCAAGAAGAAAACAAAACATGTTTCATATATTACATACCTAGAAAATCTGTGTTTTCAAGGTCTTTTGCACTAACTAACAACACCTCCAATATCCCGACAGCCATTCCTTCTTTGTCTTTTTTTTTTCTTTTTCACAGAGATTCTTTGAATAAAATTGTTTGGATTCTCCGAGTGGTAAGACCCTTCAAGTTCTAGTTTATATCGAGGAAATGAAAGAAGTTGGCATGGAAACTTTGCTAGGGTTACAATCCACGACACATTAAATGTAAAACAGGACATTGGCAACTCAGTCAGGTTTGAATTAGGGCCGGCATCGGATTGATTTTATATTTATCAAATTCGAACTCGGTCTTTTAAATTTTTTTTTTTTTATACTTAGCATTGACTTAACATTGTATAAATCGTATTCGATCCGAAATTAATAAAATATTATTTTTTAAAATATAAATTTTTATTTTTTAAAATATAAATATATATAAATAAAAAAAATTAAATAAATAATTAAAAAATTAATTTTTATATAAATATCGAAATCGAATTAAATTTATTTAAAACTTGAATTCGATCATATCATTATTTTTTTTAATAATATTTGATCTAAAATTTGATTTAAAAAAAATTAATTTTATAAGATCAAATCAAATCAAAATCTATCGAAAACGGATTAAATTATCAACTCTAATTTAAACAATTCAGCTTCAACCCATAATTGAGTCGTTTCGAGCAAACTAATAAAACAAAAAAAACAAAAGGGTTGAAAGCTTCTTCGTGTTATTATTGTTACATTGTACTAAGAAATGAGCTTTGTTTGATGTAAATTATGTGTAACCTCCTGTCATCTTGTTTTTATACATGTGAAAAAAAAAAGACAATGTTACTCTTACACATTGGTTCAGCTTACAACTCAGTTGATAAGAATGTTCGAATTAAGTGATAAACTCAAATGATTTATATAATTTTTTTAAAAAATAAATTTTAATAATTTTAAATTTTAAATTTAAATTTTTTGTAATTTTTTATTGTAATTTTTTATATAAAAAAAGTGAATACATCATATTGATTAAAACTATATACTTTAATTTAATTTAAAAATAAAAATATTGAAAATATCCACTACTCGAGAAAAAAAAATCGTTCTCTTACCATTTTCTTAAAAGGCTGCTAAAACTTCTGAGAAATGTAGTACATTTTAACATTACTTTCATGTCTAAAGTACTTTTCATCTTTGTTTATTTAGTATTTGGGTTTGTATACTGATGCAATTGGGTTGTGGATTATTGAAAATTGGAACGTAGTCTTTGGAATTTACTTGGTACAGATTCTGAATTCAAAGATTCCTTTGCCTTTTTATCTTTTTACCCTCAGCTGCCCCTTGGGAATTTGTCCAAACCAGGCAAATTGCCATGGCTGTCCGCTGTTGTGTCAAAAGTAGAGGAGATTTGGTAATTTGCATTTGTTATATTATATTATGTCAGAATTTTAGATATAAATATTTAAATAATTTAAATAGGAATACGATATTTTATTATATTTATTACATATAATATGATATAATTAATATATTTAAAATTTATTTATTTAATATAATTTAATTAACACAACATGACATAATATAATTAATACGATTAAACATAATTAATTTATTTATTAAAAAATATATCATTTAAATTAATATTAAATAAAAAAATTATTTAAAAACTAAATATTAATGATATATTTAAATATTAAAATGATACGATAAATATAATTATTAATTTATTCAAAAAATAAATTAAAATAATTTTATAATTTATATGTTATAAATGCTTATATAGATAATATTATGATTTAAAACATGTCTTTACTATTTAACTCAAACATGATACAAATATTTTAATTGTATCAATATATACAAAACATAATTACATTAAACTCATACATAAATTTTTTAATATCATATTATTATATCATATTTAAAATTAACAAATCTAAATCAAAATGATCATACATAATTTTTTTAATATCACATCATTATATCGATTGAGCTGCACAGGAATGCATTAATACTCAGATCAAGGAACTCTTATTTAATTGGCATTTTCGTTGCCAATACTTTCTAACATATTTATGCAGTATTAATTTATGAAAATGATTGAAATGACCCTAAATATGAGTCAGGTTTTTTTCGATCTTTTTAAATCACTCTCGAATAAAATCTTTAATGCATCGTATAAATGTCTCGATTTCCGACTTTTACGGCGTGTTATCAGGCACAAATTCTCTGCAACCGCAAAAGAAAGGAGCAAGTCTGAAATATAAAACCTAGATTTAGTAGTGTTAATAACACATGATAATAAAGGAAAAGAAAACTGGAATGTCATCGTTGTTTCATTACAGAGTTTAGACGTAATAAAAAGATGAAACCAAGCCACAAATTATTAGCTCCATGATCCAATACACTACATTATCGTTTTTATAAACTAGCACACAGTCCACCATGTGATAAATGCCAAGCAGAGGCTAACGGCCGTCTACGTTTGCGTACAGGTCAGCAGACCTAGATCTGGACCCAGAGGGAGACCTTGATGCTCTACCAGGGGATGGCCTCCATGCAGCCCGTGGTTCCTCAGACTCATATGCAGACTTCCTACAAATGGAATGTTTGAAACATGACACACAGTCAGGTTGAAACAAAGAAAAATCACTAATAATGGAGGTAAAAAGATGGAACTGTGAAGTGATCAGATAAGCAACATCTGTTTATTAAGACATTAGTTCGTCACTAGACTTGGTTACAGGCACCATCCAGGCCGGGAAATGAAGGTAAGCGCCATAAAAACCGATTGTATTTGAGTTTCGTAGCATTACTACTAGCAATTTTCTCATAGTACAAAAGGCTAGTCAAACAAATGGTTTAAGTTCCTTACTTGTGCCTGTAACAGGTCAGTTCTTTATAACAGCAAAAGTCAAAATAAATGCATATATGGTTGCAATACAAGGTGGAGCTAAGAAAGTTGAAACTATGAAAGAGACTTCCACTTACTCGCCATAACCATTCCCATCAGCATTCTCGTATCCTGGAGAATATGATCTGTGATTGTAATCACCATCTCGCTCTTGTGGAGGACCTCTTGGAGATCTTGGATGATCTGCATGCCTTCTACCTGGTGAAACAGAATAGTTTCCTCGTCGTATTGGAGCAGGGGAGTATGACCTGACAAAATTAATATATAAGTATCACCTTATTTGCTAACAGTCAAATGATAGGATGGCAATTTGACAGTTTACCTTGAGCGATAGCGGCTTCTAGAACCCGATGGATGATGTGGAGAGCGCATAGGGGATATTGAACGAGACCGAGAACGTCCTGACATACAACAAATGAGGAATTGCAAGGAGTTATTTTAGGATTACAAAACAGAAAAACAAAGGATCATGATTTGTACAGATCCGAAACATCCTACCCGTCTATAAAGAGCTCATGGTTAGATGAATAAAAAGTACTTCAAAACACAGGATAGGACATTATGTTATTAAGAAAGAAGACAGAAGCAAAGCCATAAATAGTAATAAGCTCTGAAAGTAGAATGTAATTTAAGGAATAGCATACCATAATAAGATGATCGTCCCCCATAGCCTGATGGTCCTCTGGAGAATTACATGCCAAATAAATTACTACATAAGTATAAGTAAAATAACAGGAAACTGTGTGTGTAACAGAGAGAGAGAGAGAGAGAGAGAGAGAGAGTACCTTAGCCTTGCTTTATGCCGCATCTCCTCAGGCCTTTTCCTTGTCTCTGCAGCAACAACAACAGATATCTCTCTCCCAGCAAATATCTTCCCATTCATGCGCCGTTGAGCTTCTGCAGCATCATATGAATCCACAAACTGCACAAATGCAAACCCTCGAGGTTCCCTGCACAAAGGATACAGCAAGCCCTCACTTAATTAAGCGAGTTAGATACGAACAAAAAAAGATAAGATAGGGATGTCAAAACTACTATACTATGTTACCGCTACAGTGCCATTACTTTGTATACCCTTATATATCTAAATATCAGCTCCAGAAGACAACCACATATGTGGATGAATTTATATGAAACAGGTTTAGTGGCTGACCTTTTCCCTTAATAGTCAATATCAAAGGCAACTTCAAAACAGGCAATTGACTTGAAAAATCTTCACATGCTTGTAAATATAAGAAGCACTTGATTTCAACATTTCCTCAAACTAAATATCTCTTCATGTAGCCTTCAATTGGTCAGAAATCAATCTTCTTCCTCATCAAACCTCTATTGATTGTGTAATTATATAATTTCGCTTCAAAAAGGAACATTCTTCATATGATCATTACTCTTAACACCCTTGGATCAATATGTTAAGAAATCATAAACAGTAGGCCTTCATCAAATGTGGGGCTTGGGCTTGTTTTTACTTCAAACCATTATACCCCCCTGACAAACCAGTTCAAAATTTAATTCACTAAGGAAAAGGAAAGAATAAGTGCTTTAAGAAATAGTGCGGAAAACAATTCGAAGGAAATAACTTCCTTTATAACTACCTACATATCTAAGATAAGAATAAGAAAAAGGAAGTAGCTGATAACCCGTCGCACAAGTTAATAAACCAGCGATCTGAATCCATTTTTTACAACCTAAAAGCTTGCTGTGCATTGTGCAATAACTAGTAACGGCCAAAGAAGAAGAAAAATACTATCAATTATTGTAGGTTATGCAATTGCTCATTCAATATAAAAAGTAAGTAAACTCTTTTGTACAATATGAAAACTATTTGCCCCACATTGTCGATACACCAACCATGGCAGCGAATTGAATATCAAATTAGCCTGACCAACAAACTAGGGCATGGACAAGAAACAAGAAGCTCATGCTTAATCCAAATAAAACTAAACAAACATCACATAAGACAACTTAAACAAACATAAACTACAAAGAGTAAACTTCCATTAAAACATTCCAAGAAAGTGATGCAGGATCAACCAAAATCAGTTTAAGGGTAAAATACCAACCCTGTGTAGTAGTCTTTAGGAAGATACACATCTCTAACAAGCCCAAATCTCTCAAAAGGAATTCGAAGTTCTTCTGGTCTGCAAAAATTATCAAACATAAATTATAACAATTCATTTAACCTGTATTAAAACAAAAAGGGGCTATAACAAAAGATTTACCTGCAATCCAAAGGAATGTTTCTGACCAAAAGACTTCCATGATTCTGCTCCCTCCTTCTACCATACCCTCCACCACCGCCACCGCCACCGCCATATCCCCTCTTTGGAGGACTCCTTTGTCTACCTCCATAGCCTCTCCTTGGAGGACTATAGTATTGGGGACTGTACCTCCTCATCCCAAAAAAACCTTCAAAAACAATTCAAAATTAATAAACTTCTTTTACATATCTTCCCAAGAAGCGAAAAAATTTACCCATCTAATTACAATAAAGCTTTGTTATTTTCTTATTTTAAGAGAATCCAAGAAACTTTTTCTTTTGAAAAAAAAAAATTGCAATACACAGAAGATGCTTTCGCTAACTCATGAAATACCCAAATCAATACTATAGTTAATTATAAGGGTTCAGTGTAATAATGATTCACTATTTGGTTATCTTAAGTTTAAAAAAAAAATCTCTTTTAAAAAATCCATAAAAACGAGAAAATTTGTTAACTCATAAAATACCCAGACGAAAACTCTTGCATCGTTATGAAAAAAAAAAAAAGGCATAAGATTAAAAAAAAATCTCAAACTCTCTGTTTGGTTGTTGAGAAACCTAAGAAAAAAATATTTCTTTGAGCATTGACTTGGTTGACCCTCAACTATACTATGTTAAAATTAAATTTACATAAAATCATAAAAATTAGTTAGAAAAAGTCTGCGAAAAAGAACACAAAATCTGAAATAGGGGAAAAACAGTTAAAATTTTCGATTTGGAAGCAGAAATAGTTGATTACCTGGAAGACGAATTTGAAACAGAGAGAGAAGAAAAAGAGAGATTTTTTGTTTAGAGTTAGATCTGAACTACAAACAGTATAACTATGTTAATACTTTTTCACTTGCTCTATTTATAGTGTTTAGAATTGGGTTTGGACGACAGTGTTGGGCCCTGTCGGCCCGCTTCGCAATAAAATTCTCTTTTTTTTTTTCTTTTTTTTTTTTTTCTATTTTGCATATTTCGTTCTTAATCAATTAATAATGTATTTTCTTATTTTGTCAAATATAAAAACTCAATTATGTACAAAAAATAATGTTCTTTCGGTCTTATAATTACTTTTAGGAAAATATAAAATTTTCCCATTAAGTAATTTTAACTATTATTAATATTTTAAAATATGGTGGAATATACCTTACCAGACTTTTTTTTTTTACTATTATTTCAAAACAGGACAATTTGAAAATTTTTTATTTGTTAATGAAATTTTTGAAATTTACATTTAGAAACCTAAAATTATGCCTTTTTTTTTATTTGAAAATAAAAAATTAAAGCTGAGATAAAAAATCATACATCAATTATTGAACCAAATGTTAAGTCCGATACGATAAAACTTTAGCTTCATGCTTATTGTCACTATAATTTTGTAAGTTTGGAATTGGTACAGCAAATATAAAGTTAAACAAATAAACATGGAATTGCTCTTCTACTGCTGTATAGAGATGTATTTTAGCTCCTTACAATAAGAATAAAGTGAAATGCAAGGGAAATATAATCATTTACTTTTCCCTTGCACATCGCCGGCAGCCATCAACTTTTGCCAGCAACTCCATTGATGTTACCAGAATTTTCTGCTTCATGTGCTGAAGAAACCTGTTTTTGCAGTCAATAATATCTATCGAATTGTGACAATTTACATAAACAGCAAAGCCCCAGCATTGGATCAATCATGCTTACTGCAGATGCAAACGAGCAAAATCATGGCATCGCTCTGCAATATTCAACATGCAATTGCAACATTTGCTTGTGATTGTTTGCTATCAGATTCAGTCAGCAGAGGATTTTTCTGGAAGTTATTTCTTAGCTGTCCACAGGCAGCACTTGCATCCAGGCCCCTTGTTTGACGTATACTAACAGTTACTTTACGGGTTTCCAGTGCACCTGCAAATGCCAACACCTGGGAAATGGAATAAAGGATTAATGAATATGCTCAAGAAATTAAAGGATTTATGTTGGTTGGAAACAAGGGGAAAGTGACAAATAGTCATCAGCATACCGCTTTTTTATTCGGCCGTTGATACTCAGAACCCTCTATTGGATTGAAAGGTATCAGATTGACATGATAATTACGTCCCCACTTGTGCAGTAGTTCAGCTAGTTCTACTGCCTGCTTTACTGAATCATTCACTCCAGCTGCATCAAAAACAAAAGACAAAAATAATAATAATAATAAAGATAACTGATTACAGCTTTAGACTGCTTTTCCAAGTCCCTAAAGTAGGCATGCAAGGAAAAAGATTCAGGGAAAAAATTTCAGTACCTAGAAGTGCATATTCAAAGGAAACTCGTCTACTGGTTTCAGCAAAGTAATCCCGGCAATCCTTCATAAGTGCATCAAGGGGGTAGGATTTTGCACTGGGCACAATCATTTCCCTTAGTTTCTGGTTTGGAGCATGTATGCTGATGACAAGAAAGTGAGCTAAATTAACATTTAAAAAATAAAGGCTTACGAACCGCTCCAAAACAATAACATTTGAATATCAAATCAAGTTGCATTGTTCCTGTTAAATAGACAGACCTGACGGCCAATGTTGACTGAAGTTTGTGAGAAGCCAGCTTTTTTATGGTGTTTGGAACTCCCACGGTGGAAATTGTAATCATTCTTTGCCCAATTTGCACGTCCTGCAGAAAAAAGGAACCAAACATCATAAATGATCTTAACTTGAGAGCCACATACAGGCATTTACTATAGCATTTCAACAGTTTTAGGAGACATTGTTTCAAAAAGAGAATTCCACTTTGCAATTAGTTCAGTATAATCAAATAATAATTCGCGTTACCAGAGGGACACACCAGAATTCTTGCAACATGTATCTCAAATCAGACATCTATGATATAATCCACAAACCAATGACATGCAAATCTCATCTGACTTATTTTATTTGTCAGCTCCAGTTAACTTTGACGCATTAAATGAGCAACAAACATGGGAAGACATTATTTTTCTTTAATAAAGCAGTAGTTAAAAAGCTTTTCTTCATCAGGATGAAAAAGAAGAGATATTAGCTGCATTTTATATCACAATATAAAAAATCTTTACACAATTATATGCTGTGTGAGAAAAAGTTGCAACTTGCAAAAGATGCACCTTATTCAAGCATCGATGTGCATCAAGTACTGACTTCAAATTCAACATGGGCTCCCCCATTCCCATGAACACTACATTTGTCACCCTGTGCTTGAAGATATCCTCGATAGCTAACACCTGCTCACAAGAATTGTCTTTACATATTATACCAAAACTATAATGTCTTCATTATGCATTAAAAGGAAAAACAGCCACTGTTTTTCCATAAAGTTACAATCTTAGCCTCCTTATTTACAAGTTTGAAAAGCATGTACATGCAAAAAGTTGAAGAAACAGATCATACACCTGCTCAATAATTTCATGCCTCTGAAGATTCCTCGAATACCCTCCCTTTCCAGTGGCACAAAATGAACAGCGTAATGGGCAGCCTACCTGAATACGAGAGCAAAACAAGAACAAGAAAACAGTTGAAAGTGTTGCATGAGATAACAACAGAAATAAATCGCTGAATGGACAAAATATTTCCCCACCCAACTCGTAACAACATCCAAAATACATAAATACCGAAAATCACCTGTGATGACACACAAGCAGTAAGTCGCATTGAACCCTTTTCATCTGCAACTGGTATGCCAACTGTTTCAATCAATCTGTTGTCTTCCAACTTTATCAATAACTGAAAGATCAGTAAGAAAACACATATAATTAACAGAATAAACATCGACAACAAAATCACCGTTAACTCAACAGCCAATTCTCTAGTCAAAATGTAGTCTCTCTCTCTATGTAGTTATTACTTTTGCTACTTACATTTTTGCTTCTTTAAAATTGCCAAAAAGGTAAAACGTGTGATAGAAAATAAACAAATAACTAAAATCTAACGCATTCAAATATAATTTATTTCATATAAAAGTAAAATAATTCATTTTAATTATTCAAAAAAAAAGTATAATTCAACCTTTTACCATTCTGAAATATCATTTAATTTCGTCTCAAAATGCAGTTTTTTTTACATTATCTTTTCGGAATTAGCACTAAGTAGTAAAACTAATAACCAAATTGTAAAATTCAAGAATTGAGTAAAAAAAGATTTACCTTAACAGTGCCATCAGCTGCACTAACAGTGTGGTAAATAGGAGACCTTCCTATTCTCCATCCAGCTTCTATAAGATCATTTCTAAATGCTTGAGGCACTATTTTTAAAAAAATTAAAAAAATAAATTAAAAATTTTCACTAAATTAATAAACAAAAATAAATAAAAGTATATAAATAATTCTTACAGTGACTAAAATCCTGAATCTCTTTTGCCTTTCTCTTATAAATTAAATGGTGAAGCTGCTTTCCTCTGTAACTTTGCTATATAATTAACCAAAAAATGAAAAAAAAATTATGAGAAATTTTTAAGTAAATAAAAATATATATAGAAAATTTGAAGTTGTGTAATTACCTGGCCGAAATCGATGGCGAGTTGTTGAAGATCTTGTTCGGACATGCCGAGGAGGACGAGGGCATCCACGTGAGGGGCTCGTGAGGAGGAGGTGGAGGAAGTGAGGTTACGCGACGGCGTGATGGTGGTGGAGGCGGAGACGGTGAAGGAACGCGGGCGGATCGCACGTGCGAGAGGAACGGAGCGTACTTGCTGAAGCATGAACATTTTGGTCGTAATCATCATCACTTCTCTTTTATGAGCTTCGTCAGTGGAAGAGCAAAACCCTTCCTGTTTCAGCCTCATGAACTGGCTAAAACCTCGGCTTTATTTGAAATGACGAAATTACCCCCATCCCTCCCCTACGAAACGATTTCATGGGCCTGGGAAATATGTTTGGGCCCTTTATGGGTTTAATTTTAGGCCCAATTAAAAATATTGAATGTTAAATACAAATTCATCGGCCTAGACATTTCCACCGGCTGAATGAGCCTTACAAGATTTTTCAAGTTCATGAAAAATTTTATTATTAAATATTTAATTTTAATTTAAAATATTAAAATTTTAACACAATTTTTTAATATTTTAATAATAAATTTGAAATATTAAAATTATTGAGCCGTTCAGACTGTGCCATGGAAAAGGCCTTAAGAGTGCCAAACGATTCTTGTCTTTATGCCATCAACTTATGAATAAATTTAGAATACAAGCTTTAGCTCAATGATTAATACATGTTTAACTTATTCAAATAACTGGATTCAGATAGCCCATTCTAACATAAAATAAAAATAAATAGCACTTCTATTCAATTCATAAATGCAACATAAAATTCTTGTATATATCTTTTTCGACTTAACTTCGAAAAAAAATTATTGTTATTTTTTAAAATTAAAAAAATTATTTATTTTTTATATTGAGATTTAAATTTAAGATTTTTAGCTTTTAAGTTAATTCAAAAAGATTTTTTATTTAAGTGGTAAGTGAAGTGATAATTTTTTTTATTTTAATTTTCAAGAGATGATGAAAAAAACGTGTTTTTTTTTTGTTTTATTGAAATATCTTGTCCTTATCTTTTGAAAAAATCCAAGCCAAAACCGTCAATTATTTTTAAAACTTGAAATTCGTGTCAAAATCTCGTGTTTGCCCTTCAAATTTTGACTAGCTTTGTTTTTATATCTTAAAGAATCTGTCAATTTATTCCAGAAGAACGTAAATAACAAAATCATCCAAATTTTGAAGAGGCAATAATATTTAATTTAACATTCATTTTTTTCTTAAATTCGTAGAGTGGACCAAGATATGAACACAATAACAATTTAAATTAATACGAGAAATCCAAATTTCCTTTATAACGATGGACGCCAAAGTTATTCAAAAACTTTATGAACTTTCGAACTTATAAATTTTTATTATAAATATTAAAATTTAAATTTTAAATTTATTAAATGTTACTTTAAAAGTGATTGGACGACCGAGCTCATTGTGTAAATTTTTAGTATTACAGGACTGGAAAGACTAAGATCATTTTTTTTTTCCTATTCTTTCGTTTAACTCTTCTGCTATTGACTTGTTTATAAAAAGGTTATTGATGGAACCACTATCTATATTTTTCACATTCCTTGTCTTGTAAAGCTGAATGTAAGTGGTTGAGCTCCATCTGTAAAGATTCCAGCTTTTAACAGATGTAAATGTAATCAAAACCAACACATGTAATGAAAGTTGACCTTGTTATGTTCATTTGCAAGCAAAGCCATTAGTTTTTGACAGTTAGAAATTGGTAGTCAAATCCAACTTGCCTTTTTTTTAATCTGTCATCCATCTGTATCCTCCCAAGAAGCATCAAAATTTTGGTTAATGAAGTTGGTACCATGAACAAGCTTTGAAACCAAATATGAGACCCTCAAATAACTAGTGGAAGACAAACACAAAATGAGTCAAAATGCTGAACTCGGATATTATTGAATTCAACAATTGTACAGTGATCAATAGCTGGACATAAGTGCTTGAGTTCAAGATATGATGTTCATTTAAGATTATCATCTATAAAAGCATGCTTCAGATTTTTTTTCCTCTTTATGTACTTGGTGGAGAAGCAGATGGCCAGGGGGATAAGATAGCATTTCCATTGCAGATATCATTGGCATTTTTGCTTTGATATTTAGGAGCATTCCTTGAATTCCGATGAGAATTATGGACAGATGCATTTCTAGGGCCCCCTTTGTCACCGGAGTCTTGAAGTTGCTCTAGTGCTTTCACTACTGCATCCATGTTAGGCCTAAGCTTAGGCTCTATAGATAGGCATTGCAGCGCAAGATAAGCAGCTTTTAATGCTACGTCCGGTGTGTATTGGCCTTCGATACGAGCATCCATGACTCGGAAAATCTTGCGTTTACTGGTAAGGTAAGGCCTTGCCCAATCAACTAAATTTTGTTCTCTAGATGGTCTGTTCTTGTCCATTGCTCGCTTGCCTGTTAACATTTCAAGAAGAACAACCCCGAAACTGTAAACGTCACTTCTGGCAGTCAGATGACCTTCATGGGAAAAAAACTAAGTCAAAATACAATTAGGGAATTGCATTTATAATTGTGAAAATGAAGAAGGCGGCATGTTAAAAAGATACCTGTTGCCATGTACTCAGGAGCTGCATAGCCATAGGTGCCCATGACCCTTGTAGAAACATGGCTTTTATCACCAGTTGGTCCATCCTTGGCCAGGCCAAAGTCAGAGAGCTTTGCATTATAGTTCTGTCATTTTACATTGGAAAAAAAGATGTTAGAGAGCTACATAATTCAAGTAGGAGTCCTGAATTTCAATAATTATGCAGGTTTTCGTACCGAATCAAGCAAGATATTTGAAGTTTTGAAGTCTCGGTAGATCACTTTGGCCTCATCAGAATGCAGAAATGCTAGTCCCTTGGCAGCACCAAGAGCAACCTTCATCCGAAGGTTCCAAGAAAGTGGTTGAAAATAAGAATTTCCTGTCCATTATAATGGAATTATTCCTTGGAATGGAAACAGTTGAACGGATGGCTAAATAAAGGAATAGATATAAATGAATAACTCACTTCTAAAAAGATGATTCTCCAAGCTGCCCTTAGGCATGAATTCATAAACCAGAAGCCGATGATCATCCTCTAAGCAGTAACCAACCAGTTTCACAAGATTGGGATGATATAGCTGCCCCAGGTAGTTGATTTCTGCCTATAATCCACATACATCATTTAAATTAAAAACTATTCTATCCAACATAGTACTTTTAACATCTAAAAGGATGTTTCAAAAACTGCAGAGCTCAAGGGTAGAGCTGGGGAAGATATGATACTTACCAGCCATTCCTGGTGGCCCTGAAAGCCTTCCTGGTTAAGCCTTTTAACAGCAATAACCATGCCAGTACCAGGCTTGGCAGCTGTAAATGAATTCTCATCAATCCAACCCTTAAAGACACAACCAAAACCACCTTCACCCAAAAAGCTATCCGGACGGAAGTTCCTGGTAGCTGTTCTTAGTTCACTGAAGTTGAAGCCCTTCAAATTGGAAGACTGTAAAATCTCACCCTCAGTTCTAGGCACCGAAACAGATGAGATCCTGCTGCTTGGACCACTCATTTCATTCCCATATTTGCTACCATACTTTGGATTAGCCCCTGCCACGCATATCAAACAGCCAAATATCAAAATATGTTACATCAGATACAAGCAAATGGACACTTTCCTCATTAGTCTCTTGGAAACTTTTATTATCTTCAATAACAAAGATCTCAAAAGGCAAGCTAAAACTTAGCAGCTGATGCTCAAAGTTTACGGGAAAAAGTGATCAAATCTGAAAAGGAAAGCATGCATACCATTGTGGAGAGGACTCTCAGCTTTAATTCTAGAACTAAAGCAAGACCCCATTAAAACAAAACTGAGGATCGTCTTCTTTTCAGTACTCCTCCACCTACAAGAAGGAGAACAAAATACAGAGAACAATTGATACAAGCAACCAAAAAGCCCGTGAAAAGAAAGGATCGCTTCAAGTGTGAAAGCATAACTTTATATACGTAGTCCAAGGCTCACCTGTCACCCACGACTCACGAGAATAACTATCCTATTGAAAACTTTGACTGATAAAAAAGGACAAAAGTAAAACAAAAGAAAAATGCAAAACCCGTCATAATAATGTCATAAATGAATGAGAAAACCAAGATTGAGTAAAAGCACAGCAGCAGGCAGAAAAGTAGGGAGCTTTTGGCCTTACATGTTTTGTTAGTGTGGTTCAAAGAAAGTTCCAACATTAAAATAAAAAAAAAAGGTTGGGAAAAGCAAAAATGAAAGGGTTGACTTGGCTTTAAGCTAATGTTTCATACTTCCATCTATCTGCAAGTGGAAACTTGTTGTATTAATTAAAACTTTCATGGCTTTGGGTGGCATTTATCCCTTTCATTTGATGACTAGTTGTCCTATTTTTCTTATTCTTTATGGCTTTCATACACATGAAAGGACAGCCATGCAAGATCTGCTGTAGAGATTTTCTAGCAATTGGATTAGCATTCACGATTTGTCAACGGATTAATATTTATAAAAAAAAAAAAAGAAAATGTTGTTTTGCTCATTTGCGCCGGTGAAGAGAGGGGGGGGGGGGGGGATGGTTATCTGGGGACTTGTCAAGTGGCCTTTCTCAGCCATAGTTTGGTACGGGGAAAAAGGGTCCCACAAGAGAAAGTCAATCACTTTTTTTTTATTTTTGTTAGGAAAATTGGGCCTAGCTTGATGTAAGTAGTTTTAGATCAAGTAAAGATCATGAGCTTTGATCTTTTATTTTACACAGAGCCTTAGTTATTTAATAAAAAAGATGTGAGATTGTTTTAAAGGTGTATCGAAAACTAAGTAGAGAAAGAAGAAAAGCAAAAAAAAAAAAAACAGAGAGAAAAAAAAGAAAAGAGAGTTAGTTGAACGAAAGTCGATCCGTGGTCCGATTGAGTTGGAACTTTATCAAAAAGTTTATGATTCAGAGTTTTACATTTTGAACGGTGAAGATCGGGTTTGAAGCTTTCTAAAAACAAATTCAGGGTGTATTTGTTGAGTCACTTATTTGGTAAGATTTCTCCAATTGTTTCTCTAGTTGTTGATTAGCTCTAGTTTTAGCTAGAGAAGAACTTTGTATACCTATTATTTGATAGTGAAGATTTTTCTAGTGGTCTATGATTTTTTCCCTTTACACTGGAGGATTTTTCACGTAAATCTTGGTGTGCTTTATTTTTTTTATGTTTTTTTATTATTGATTATTGTCTATTATTTCTGTATTATTGTGATTATTGCTTCAAGGGTAACAAGTGGTATCAAAGCGAGGGTTATTTTGAGACATCAATACAGAAACAACCTAGGATAGAAGTAAATTCTGTTTGAGATCATGGAAGGTGACACATGTTTCATGATAAAATTGATAGCATCGAATTATTCAATTTGAAAGCCTATGATAGAGGATCATCTATACTGCAAAGATTTGTATAAGCCAATATTGGATGATTCGACTAAAATAGCAGATATGAAAGATGAAAGCTGGAGGAAGCTAAGTAGAAAGACGCTGGTTACAATTAAAAAATGAGTTGATACCAGCGTATTTTATCATGTAGCTAAGAGTCAGATGCTCACATTGTTTGAAAAAAATTGACAGCATTGTATAAAAAAATAGATATGAATAAAGTTATGCTTATTAAAAAGCTTGTAACTTTACAGTACAGGGATGGACGATCTGTTACAAAGCACTTGAGTGATTTTTAAGATATATTTAATCGAATGACTACTATGGTGCTTAAGATGAATGATGAAATAAAGACGTTATTTTTTTTGGATTCATTATCATACAGCTGAAATACTCTAGTTGTGACTATTCTTAAATCAACTCCTGATTATAAGGTGACATTGAAGATGGTAAAGGACAATATGCTTAATGAAAAAGCAAGGTGAAAAGATGTAGACCTTGGGAATCAAGCTTTGATCATAGAGAACAGGGGTAGAAACATCGACAAAGGTCAAGACTCAAAAGGTCTTGATAAGTTTAAATATAGATCCAAGTCTAGAGATAAAGTGCAGTATTTCTATTGTGGTAAGACATGTCATATAAAATGAAACTGTAAAATCTTGAAGCAATAGCGAAAAGATGAGAAAGACAAGAGTTCAGATGATGGTAATATTACAGCAGTAAATTCAGATGTAATTAAATTACTTTGATTTATACATATGATGATTGTAATCATATTAGTGATCCCGACATTGAGTAGATAGTTGACATAAGAGCAGCATATCATTTTGTTTCTAAGAGATAGTTGTTTACAACTTACAAAGTAGAAGACTTTGGTTGTATCAAGATGGGAAATAAGAATGTATCATAGATTGTTGGGATTGGTGATATTGTTATACAAACTAGTATAGGCTGCATGTTGATTTTAAGGGATGTCAGACACATTCTAAATATGAGAATGAACTTGCTTGCTATTAATATTCTTGATAAGGAAGGATATGAAAGTCGACAAAAGAATGGATAGTGAAAGTTTCTCAAAGGATCTATGGTAGTTGCAAGAGAAAAATTATGTTGCATAATGTATAAGACATGGATGCAATTGAACGGTAACCAGGTAAATATCGTTGAAGATGATGATTCAAAAAACTTGTGGCACAAGAAGCTAGCACACATGAGTGAAAAGGGGTTACAGATTTTGGCAAGGCAACCTCTTATTCCCTTGACGAAAGGTATATCTCTCGGTTTATATGATTATTATTTGTTCGATAAGCATCATAGAGTTTTTTTTCGTAAAAATTTTCAAAGAAAAGAAAATATATTGAAATTAATTTATTCTAACGTATGTGGTCCCATTGAGGTTGAGTCATTCGGTGGTAGTAGATATTTTGTTACATTTATTAATGATGCTTCATGTAAGACTTAGGTGTATATGTTGAAATACAAAAGTTAGGTACTGCAGTATTTTTAAAAATTTTATGTCATGGTTGAAAGGATGACAGGGTTACCCTTGAAGTGTATTCAAACTTATAATGATGGGGAATACACATCTAAAGGCTTTGAAGAGTATTGTTCAAAGTATGAGATTAGGCATGAGATGACAGAACCTGAAACACCGCAACATAATGGTATAGCTGAAAGAATGTATCGCACTATTGTGAAAAAAGTTAGATGTATGTTGAGGATGACGAAATTACCAAAGTCATTCTGGGGTGAAGCAGTCAACAGAGCTTATTATTTACTTAACAAGTCACCATCAGTTCTTTTAGGCTTTGACATTTCAGAAAGAGTGTTGATAGAAAAAGATACTTCATACTCTTACTTGAAAGTTTTTTGGTGTAAAGCATTCATGCATGTGCCGAAAGAACAAAGATCAAAGCTTGACAATAAAATCACACAGTGTGTGTTTGTAGGATATGGTGATAAAAATTTTGGCTACAGGGTATGGGATCCAGTAAAGAGAAAGATAGTCAGAAGCAGAGATGTGATCTTTCATGAAAAAAACTATAGCAGACTTTAAAAAAAATAAGAAGACTAACACGGGTTACTGTTGAGTGTGATATTTTAACACCGATAAAGATTTCATAGGAAAGAGCCATAAATGGTGAAAATGAGCAAAAATAGAACTTGGAAATATGAATGAGCCAATCACAGTTGGTGATGAGCCAGATGCAATTAGTTTTGAGCAAGAGGAGCAATCCTCTCTACCTGAGAGTGTTGAGCAGAGGGAGCTACCTTCGGCATCAAGTGATGTAGAGTCTCAACCCAAGAGATCTATTAGAGAGCGCAAGCCATCTACCAGGTATCCAAGTTCAGATTTTATTTTAGTTACCAGTGAAGGAGAGTCAAAAAGCTTTCAAGATGTGCAGGCTACTCCGGATAGAGAGCACTGGTTAAAAGTAATGAAAAAAAGATAGAGTCATTACGAAAAAATGGTACTTATGATCTTGTTAAACTTTCAAAAGAGAAGAGGCCATTAAAAAATAAATGGGTGTTCAAGTTGAAAAATGATGGTGATAAACTAGTGAGGTACAAAGCTCGATTGGTAGTAAAAGATTTTTCTCATAAATCAGGCATCGATTTTGATGAGATCTTTGCTCCAGTTATAAAGATAAGTTCTATTCGAGTGGTACTAGGATTAGCAGCTAGTTTGAATCTTGAGCTTGAGCAACTTGATGTTAAAACTGTATTTTTGCATAGTGATTTATAGGAGGACATTTATATGAATCAGCTTGAGGGTTTTGAAGTGAAAGGAAAAGAGCACTTAGTTTACAAATTGAAGAAAAACTTGTATGGCTTGAAACAAGCTTTGCAATAGTGGTACAAAAAGTTATAAAGATGAGTTCTATTCGAGTGATACTGAGATTAGCAGCTAGTTTAAATCTTGAGCTTGAGTAACTTGATGTTAAACTGTATTTTTGCATGGTGATTTGCATGAGGATATTTATATGAATCAGCTTAAGGGTTTTGAAGTGAAAGAAAAAGAGCACTTAGTTTATAAATTGAAGAAAAACTTGTATGGCTTGAAACAAGCTCTGCGATAGTGGTACAAGAAGTTTGATTCTTTTATGGTGAGTCATAGCTATAAAAGAACAGCAACGGATTCTTGTATGTATATTAAATAATTTCTAATGGTAACTTCATTATCCTATTATTGTATGTTGATGATATGTTGATTGTAGGATAAAATGCTAGTATGGTTTGCAAGTTGAAAGAACAATTATCTAAGTCCTTTGATATGAAGGATTTAGGTCTAGCAAAGTAGATTCTTGGTATAGACATTATCCGAGATAAGAGAGCTGAAAAGTTATGGTTGTCATAGGGAAAGTATGTTGAACGAGTGCTTGGTAGATTCAACATGCAACATGCTAAATCAGTCAGCAGTCCACTTGCCAATCATTTTCATCTAAGTAAGAAATCTTGTCCGGTGTCTAAAAAGAGTAACTAGCTATATCTAGTATTTCTTATTCTTCTGCAGTTGGTTCTTTAATGTATCTTATAGTTTATATAAGGCCTGACATTACTCATGCAGTTGGTGTAATGAGCAAATTTTTTTCTAATTCAGGGAAGGTTCACTGAGAAGTAATGAAATGAATTTTTAGATATTTAAGGGGTATCTAAAAAATGTGCTTGACTTATGGAGTTTCATAATCAATTCTAGAAGGATTTACTGATGCTGATATAGCAGGCGATCTTGATAGTAAAAAATCTACTTCAGGGTATTTGTTCAATTTTGCAAGAGGAGCTGTATCTTGGAAATCTAAGTTACAAAAATGTGTTGCTTTGTCAACTACAGAGGTTGAATATATTGCAGCAATCGAAGCATGTAAAGAAATGCTTTGGATGAAATATTTTTTTTTAATTAAGATTGAATTAGAAAGAGTATGTGATATTTTATGATAGTCAGAGTGCTTTAAATTTGAGTAAGAATACATGTACCATGCTAGAACAAAGCACATTGATGTTAGATATCATTGGTTACGTTCAGTGATTGAAGAACAGCAGATGCTGTTGAAAAAAGTCCATACTGATAAGAATGTAACAGATATGTTGACTAAGATACTTCTCAAAAAAAGCTTGAGCTTTGCAGTAACTTGGTCGGAATGAGTTTTCTGGTCAAGGTAAGTTCTAAATGAAACTACTATGGTGATGAATCTCCTCCTAATGGGGCTGGAGGGGGAGATTGTTAGGAAAATGGGGTCCAGCCTCATGTAAGTGGTTTTGGACCAAGTAAAGGCCATGGGCCTTGATCTTTTATTTTACACAGAGCCCTAGCTACTTAATAAAAAAGATGTAGGATTGTTTTAAGGGCGTGTCAAAAACCAAGTAGAGAAAAAAAAAAGTAAAAAAAAGCAGAGAGAAAAAAGAGATGGGAGAGTTAGTTGATCGAAAGTTGATCCGTGGTCCATTGAGTTGAAACCTTATCATGAGGTTTATGATTCAGAGTTCTACATTCTGAACGGTGAAGATTGGGTTTGAAGTTCTCTAAGAACAAATCCATGGTGTATTTGTTAAGTCACTTATTTGGTAAGATTTCTCTAATTATTTATCTAGTTGTTGATTAGCTATAGTTTTAGCTAGAGAAAAACTTTGTATACCTATTATTTGATAATGAAAATTTTTTTGGTGGTCCATGATTTTTTTTCTCTATACTGAAAAGTTTTTCACATAAATCTTAGTGTGTTTTATTTTTTTTATATTTTTTTATTATTAATTATTATCTATTACTTTATATTATTGCGATTATTACCTCAGGTGCAACAATTTCAACCACATTTGTTTTTTTTGGATATATGAAAAGTTGGAATGAAAATTCTATAACTATTTCTTATTACTTTAAAGGAACTAATTTGGGTACTCCATTAAAATGTTACTTTTTTTTAGATATCAAATACAATTTTGTGTCTAAAAAAAAATGTTTTTCATACGCATTTTTTGTCAAGAAAATGTCAATTATATAGTAAAATAAAATTCAAAGTATCTAATAAATTTAGAGCATATAAAAATAAAGTGAAAATTTTATATTTGAGAATAGATTTTACGATTCATATATTTATATAATGTAAAATAATAAAATTTATGAATTTATGTTTTATTTTAACAAAAATTATATATTATAATTTATATCGATATAAAAATATAAAATATTTTTTTTTATTTTATAAAATTTATATATAATTATTATTAAAATTTTAAATATTATTATTTTTATATTTTTTATTTATATCATATTCGTGTACGAAAGTCAATAAACTTTTGAGATAAATGCTTCAAATATCAAAATTTTCCACATTCAGATAGCTTTCAATTAATGGATGCAAATAGTTTCTGGAAGGTATTTTAGGAAATGAATCGTCTCATTTTGCTGCGGAAGTACTTGCGTATTTTTCAAAGGTCAAAGAGGTTTGTTGGGAAAGCAAGAAGTTCAAAAAAGGGGGCGTTGGAAAAGTTATATTAAGATTCTTCTGCTATTATGATTATGACAATTTCAGTTAAAATGTTTTTTTTTTTTTTAAGGATTCGGCTAAATTTGGTGATGTTTTTGTTTGTAAAAATGTCATCAAATGACAATGTTTTTCCTGTAATGAATTTCTCTGAGTTTCACCGTAGATATCAATTTTCAGATGACATTTTGGATATCTTATCTAATGGATTAAAAATTATAAAATCTTGAATATTTTTACTTCTTTTCCTTTAAAAAAATGTGTAAAAATTTACGAAAAATAATCTGTTTTAATTCAAAAATTTTATAATTTTATTTCATAAAAAATAACTTATAAATTTAAATTTAAATATCAATTTATATATTATAATAAATATTTAAAATATTTTTATACGAGATTGAGATATCACAAATCACTTTCATGAAATTCGAAAAAAAAAAATAGATTTTAGTTTAAATAATATTAAATTTAATTTTTTTCATAAATTTGAAGTTATATAATTTTTAATGATAAAAGTCAAAATTTTATGAAAAATAATTTTAGAATAGAAAAAAAATGATATTTAAGTATTAAAAAATATAATTTTAAGACATCCAAATAAAATGAGACGAAATAAGTATATTTTGAGATAAACCATTTCTCTCCTTGTTAGAAGATAATGAACAAATTAATTAATATCAATATGCCAACAATGGTATGGTTTTTATTGAAAGAATATTAGATTTTTAGTTTCAATAATTAAAATTTAATAACCATAATTATAAAAAAAATTAATATGATTCCTTAAAATATTAATAAATTACGTCAAAGTGGTTGAGTTTTTAATTAAAAAAAATCCAATAACTAATTTAGTTTCAATGTCATAATTATAATATAAACTATTTTCAACTAATTAACAAATGTAACTAAAATATGAAATTACTTTAGTTCGAATTTTAAGAGTGAATCTAATATCCACTCAATTAAAAAAAAAAACTATTGATATTAAATGTATAATTTTGATTGAATATTAAATATAATAAATACTTAACAAAAACACCTCTTTGCCTTAACAATATAATTTTGAATACAAAATTAAGACATTAAATATTTAAATTCTATCATTTACAAAAAAATAATAAAATAACTATTAAAATCAAGTTAAATTAATGATTCGAATCTAACCGATTCAATTAAATTTGATCCTATCTGTTCGATTGATCTGATATATTTTTAAGTCATCGATGATGATGGCTAGGATCATATTTAAAATTACATCTATTCCATTGAATGTGAACATGCAGTTGATCGTCAATCAACCACATTAAATTAAATCATACATTTTCACGTGTAAACTGACAGTGTTAAACATTAAATTTTTAACGACAGGCTTGAGAAGTATAGTCCATGAAAAATAATTGTATTTTATTATTATCTTAAAAAGGAAAGCAAAATAGATTTCATTATTTTGAATTGCAAATTGCAGGTGGGAATTCAGGAATTGGGGATTAGGGAATGAACGCATTAAATTAAATTAAAATTAAAAAAAAAAAAGAAAAAAAATCCCGTGAGACCCACCCTTTTCTAGCCCCACTTTAGTATTTCACTTTATTTATTTATTTTTTTAGAAAGCTTTAAAGGCGGAGGTGATCGTTATGGGAAGATTCACGTACGACTCTTGTCTTTTTGCAACTCTTTTGACTGCTATTATTGCTTATTCTTATTATTTTTTTGGAGCTTATCTTTCTAGTCTTCAACGATTGTTGATGAGATCCAACGTAAAAATTTATACTCGTATTAACTAGATTGACTCGTGTTACCGCATAAATATCAATGTTTGTATAAATTAAATTTTAAAATTTGAATGACATCCACTATTCTTGAAATATTTGTATTTAAATTTGTTTAAATTTAATATCATTATTTTAATTTAAATAAATTCTATTTATTTAAATATTTGAATTTATTAAAATATTAATTTATTTAAAATTTTTATTGTCATATAAAATAAACAAAAATTTAGTTTAAAATTTAAATTCACTCTTAATTAAAAATAAATATAACTTATTTATAAGATTTAAAATCTTTTTAAATAACTATATTTTATATATGTAAACAGATAATAAATTTAAAAACATATTTAAATATCTATTATTATTCATAAAATTAAAATAAATTCAGATAATGAATATTCGATAGATACTATCCGATCTTCTTCTAATTCATCAAGAATAATAAATTTTTTATCTAAATTCATTAATTATCCATTTTTAACTATCAAAATTCAACATAAACAAATTAAATAATAATAATCCCTATTTATTTACTATCCGTTATTATCATTAGTTTAAAGACACTATTTTTAATGTAGGATTATACTTGCTGTATTGTCTAGAATAATATTGATGAAATAATTTTTAACTTTCTTTGAAAAAAAAATTATTCAAATTGTTCGTTATTTAATTGTTCTCACCTCCTTACCAAAACTACGTAATATTCTTTTTAATCTTCTTTATTTGAATATTCCTAAACATATCGAATAAAGTAGTTTCATCTTCCATAGAATACTGATTGTGGGTGCCTACGGACAACTAGATCACCTCAAACTTCTATCAAGTCAAAACACATTGGAACTTGAGATTCCACCGATTTCTGCATCGATCGTGTGACCCTCTTTGTAGCCTGGAAAAAATGGGTTTCCCAGGCTACAAAAAGATGTCATTCAACTTATTGGTTATGATTTGTGACCCTAATGTCATCAAATGGGTGACTTGAGATTTAAACATCTATACCCAATGTTTCAAAGTATCGACTTCACCCCACAGCCAACAATGGATTTTTGCTAGTCCTATTGGATGTGCTCGACCACTGACCTAAGCACCCCAATCAGAAGCACGAGCTTAGTTCAGCTACAAAGTCAACATAAGGTGTGCCTAATAAGTAAAACTGCTTTGCATTTTCTTTGGCTGCTGCAAGAAAAAATGCTTCAAAATCTGATTATCCTGGCCCGAGTTGCATTTAGATTACACAAGGACTATGTTTCTCTCTATAATCAATTATATTTGCAACCTTTTAATCCCAGAAAGACTCACCTGGTCTGTTCATGCAGGAAGTCGGTATTCACTGTCTATGAAGATACATCAAAAAGAGGTAAGTCACACTGAATGGAAACAAAGATCTCTTCCACACTCAAATATTAACTAACTAATATGATGCAGACAATTCTCAAGCGAAGAATCTGGATGCATAATCTGAGGGATGAATGATCTATGAATACAGTCCAAAGACTGATTAAAATGACAAAAAGGCTCTTTCAACTCACCTAACTTCAGTGCTCGAGATAGAGTGGCGAACTTGCCAGTACCATTCACCTACACAGGCCCATAGGCAGAAGCAGCATCTGCCCTGGTTGATACATTTGTTGCCATTGGAAAATTAAACAAGAAAGCACCTAGAAGGGTGTTGCAGTTAGCAAACAAAATTCAAAGAACAAGTGCAGTCCTTGAAACTTGTTACAGTCGGTGCAGCACATAAATTCCGACCTGTGCATTCAAATAAGAACAAATGCAATCCTTCAATCTTGTTACTATAACAGTACAAAGCATAATGCAGAGAACATTTAACAGCATTCACACAAGAATGTACCAAGAACTATTTCAGAAATAGAATTTAATATAAAAACACTCTCCACAAGATAAACATATATGGCAAGCCTATCTAATAATATGCAATCAAGTCCAATGCAGAGTGACAAGAACATTTAATCATGTTTATATGTCCAAAACCACTCAGGACCAGAGTGTGATGGACACAAGGAATATAGAGGAAGAGGACAGTTTAGTCCCGATAGGCAAGGAGCAGAGTATCACAGAAGTCCATAAACATCAGCCTACCACACACCAGGGATGGCTTTCCCTTGGAGAAGCTCATGTCCACTAACCCCACATACTTCACCACTGTTTTTACTTCTTTCTCTAATTGATTTACAGGTTAATCTCCATGTGATATCATCTATTGTGATGACAATATTCTTCAGCATATCTTCAATCCTGTCATTTCAATTTCAGTTTCATTCATGAGCCAGTCATCTCTGCTGCCTTTACACAAATCAAATCCAATCGAACAAAAACATACATACTCTTTCACTTGCCAAATTGAGGCTCGTCATTTTCTTTAGCAAATACCCTTCCACTTTCTACTCATTATAAACAAGAACTGGGAATACACAAATCAAATCCCAGCCTAGCAGCTCTGATTGGGTTTGCTATATGCTGTTCATAACTTTATATTGAAGTCAGATATATACTTTCAGAACATATATATTAACTTTAAAAAAAGAAAAAACTCAAGTTCAGAACAAAATATGGCTAAAGTATTAAATTTGCAAGGATCCAGGACATCCACATCTTTCTAAACCAAAATGCAATCTCAGGTTGATGCTTGAAATAGCATAGAAGTTCCCATTAGGGAGAAATATGTTACCAATCACACCTAAGACATGAAAAAAAAATACATCATCTTCCTCGTCAAAAGGTAATTAATAACATGAAAACATCATTAAAGACATTTGCCCTTTAAAAGAAAGAAACTTGATCATATGGTTCAGGAATTACAGCATCTGATTCCTCTACTTATCTTCTCGACCCAGCACCGTAGTGGGACTCAAGCCACCATCCATATCAAATTAACTAAAGGATTAGTGAATCTGAGGCCAAGTAAACAGAGCCAATGCATCAGAATGCACCAAACCCAAAACAACGTGCTCCTTTTAACTATAACAACTCGATGAGAAACACTACAATCACTAAAATCTGAAAATAATGGACTTACGAATCCTGGCCTTCTCAGACCTGAAAAACAAAGGAGAAGAAAAGACAAAAAGGGAAAAAAAAGAAAGAAAGAACCCTTGTTAATCACCAGTATTAAATGGATTTCAACAGAGGTTAACCAATGTATGCACATAAGAAAATCAGCCTTTATCAGCTAGTACTTTTGAGAAAGTTCCTCCCACAATGTAGGTGAGAGCTAGTAATGGCTCTATCTCTGCGATCAGAAATTGGAAAATAAAATAGCATAAGACTCTTAGCAGAGAGAATAGGAAATCTTTTGAAACATCAGATGAGTAATTAAAATAAGAAAATGGTGACAAAATATGATACAGCATATTTATTTATGGTTCTGGCAAATTATGTGAACCACATACATATAGTAGTCAAAACTCAAAAGCAAGAACACCCAAATATATAAAAAGTATCAGTACAAGAGTTTATAAGCCTAAAACATCACAATTTGATAGTCATAATGAAAATTAAAGAGAAATAACTTATGGAGGTCATAAGCTATCACTTGATTGACAGGCGATTAAACCAAGCATCTGAAACAAAACAAAGGTATCAGTCCTTGACATATATGATAATAAGACTTATCAGATACACATAAAAATGTTCTTATTTTACATCCTGAAGCATTTATAATTTATTTAGTCCAAATAAATGTAGTATTTGGCACCAACTTACTTCACCAGAGTCATCTATGTCATTAACCAAGTATATATCAATTACTTTGGCTCAGGCCCCCTCCACTGCACTGACCATCTTATAACAGGGCCTCAGCCAATTATATGTCACTAATTAATTAACCATATCACCTTAAAAGCATCATTATGTTTTCTTTCTTCAAAACACAATATTACTAAAATTATGCCCATTTGTAGTTAAAAGACTATTGGGTGGTTTCATACCCCACGAAGGATGCAGAGTCCTGAATCTTACGAAGAGGAACGCCATCACGAAGATTGACTTTCAGGTCTGAGAGACAAGCCCGACTACAAATCCAACAATCTATACAAGAGAAGAGTGTGTAGTTTACTAGTCCATTTGTTGTACCAAAGATAAAGTCAGGACCAATTCAGATTGCCTTCAATAAATATGTTAGGTTACATTATAATGTTCTCCTATTTGACTGTCATAATCAGAACAACTACACTTTTCTTTTATTAGAAAATAACAAACAGCAACACCTTTGCAGCAAGTTTAAAAGTAACTGGTAAAAGCATATGTTCCAGGAAAAAAATTGAATGAAAAAAATGAAAATGAACAAAAACGCAGATAGATCTACAGAGAAACTAATATAGAAAGAAAGTTTATGCCTATTGGAAGTTGGATATGAGTTCTTACATCTACAAAACCTGGTATCTGCCAGGTTGAGTCCCACCAGGAAGTTGTAAGGACTGGTGTGAGATATCTTCCAAGACACGTTTTAGTTCAGCCTTAGCTCTCTTAACAGATAGCTCTGTAGGTCCCTCAATGAACAAGTAAAGCTTGCGTTCCCCTGGTCCTGGGATCCGACCAGGTGGGAAAAACTGGCCCCTGGTGGTAATGGCAGCTCCAGTCCATTCTGATATTGGACCCAAAGTTTCCTTGTGGGTAACCTTCCATCGAGCATTCTGGGGGAATTCATTTATCTCCAACTCTGCTTCATAATGTTCTGGCATCGCATCAGCTTGAATCTTTGCCAAGTTATGCTGCAAGTTAAGGGCAGCTTGCAATGCAGCTTTTCGAGCAGCCTCTTCATTTGGAAGACCAGGCAGCCCACTCCCAGGCACAACTGCTGCAGTACCTGGCATTGACACACCAAGTACACCAGGAAGAGAAACGGGCAATACAGCATTGGGAAGCAGTTGAACAGATGATAGAGTGTTCTGCATCAAAGCAGTACTAGCTTTGGTGGCAGCAGCCATGGCAGCTATTTGAGCAAGCGCTGTCTGCTGTGAGATGTCACCACCTGCCTTCCGCACCCCTTCATCTTCATCTTCAGAATCTGACTTGTCTTCCTCAAACCCATATTCTTTTGCTTGTGCTTTCTTTGCTGCTTTTCTCTTTTCATCCTCCTCTTCATTGAATTTAAAACCACTTCCACCATAACCTGTTCCATGGGCCTGCTCAAGTCCCTGATTGACTTTTGCCATAAAGCCATCAGCAAGAGCTTTCAGGTCATCAGGAACAACTTGCTCAGAGAGCTCCAAAGCTTTTACAAGATCTGGTGCATATCTTGCATCATCCTCGGAGATAAATGTGATGGCACAGCCTTTCCGGCCAGCTCTACCTGTCCTACCAACACGGTGAACATAATCTTCATAATGATTTGGAACATCAAAATTAATCACTAATTCAAGCTCCTTCACATCTAAACCCCTTGCTGCAACACTTGTTGCAATCAACAAATTGCAGACATTACTCTTAAAATCAGAAATAGTGGATTCACGATCTGTCTGATCCTTGGCCCCATGAAGTGACAGGCAAGGGTAACCGTGTTTGAGTAAATCCCTAAACAAAGCATCACACTTTTCTTGGGTGTGGACAAAAATCAAAATTTTCCCCTTCTCACACCATTCACCTAGAAGTTCTAACAATCTCAGGAACCTTTCACTTTCTGGCCTCATCTCGACCAACTGAGTTATGTCCTTGTTCACAACACTTCTCCCACCAACCTGTATTTCAACAGGTTTATTCAACACTTTACGTGCCAAAATCTCAACCTGACGAGGGAAAGTGGCAGAAAATAGTACAGTTTGGCGATCAGGTCGAATATTTTGAACAATTCGAGTGATTTGAGGTTCAAAACCCATATCAAACATTCTGTCAGCTTCATCCAAAACCAAATATGTTACTCTACGCAGATTACTAATTTTTCCCCCACTAGTACAAAGTATATCAATCATCCTACCTGGAGTACAGACAACAATCTCTGTTCCCCGCTTTAATTCACTAATCTGCTGGGCAACACCAGACCCTCCATACACAGGGACACATCTGATTCCCAATGCCTTGGCAAACTTCTTTATATCACTATGAATCTGCTGGACAAGCTCTCTTGTAGGTGCCATGATGAGCCCAATAGGCCCGTCTCCAGCTACTACAGGTGGCTGATCTTTGATATGCCTTAACATTGGTAGCACAAAAGCAAGGGTTTTGCCAGAGCCGGTTTTTGCTATGCCAATGCAGTCTCGACCACTCATAATTATGGGCAGTGCCTGAGCTTGAATTGGCATTGGCTTCTCATAATTAAGTTTCCTTATTGTCTCCAATATTTTACTTGTGAGTCCAGTTTGATGCCAGGTTTTGATTGGTTTGGGCACATCCTTTCCATGTAACTTCAATTCCAATTCCTTCCTGTAAGCAGCAACTTCTTCAGGTGTCATTCTTGATATCTCCTTCACTTCAATATAGAAATTTTTCCTGAAAGGTTTATAATCAATCTTCGAGTGATCAACAATAGATAGTTTTTCAGCTTTTGTCTTCTTTACCCTTTTCATGAACTCATCATCATCTTCATCTTCTAAATTCTCTTCATCATTCTCAACATCCCCATAATCTGAATCCGAGTCTTCCCCAGAAATAATTCTCCCAAGTGCCTTGTTAGAATCTTTCTTTGGTTGCTGTCCACCATTACTGAAGCCATCTTTTTTATCCTTAAAGTTCCCATTTTTATCATCATCAGCAGTAGGAGGAGGATCAACAACCGCATTACTTAGTTTCTCAACTTCAGGTAACACCATTGAATTCATAAAAGCATCTAATGGATCAATTTCATCATCATCCTCAGCAATCCCATTGCCCCCATTTTGGTTAACAACCATTTTATCTTCCCCATTATCAGAATCTCCTCCTTCCATCATTCCATCTCCACCTTCCTTACTATCAGGCTTCGAATTCTCATTATCATCAACATCCATATTTGTATACAATTTTGTTGGAGAACCTACTTCATCATCATCTGATTCTCCTTCCAGAGTCCAAGCTTTACCAACCTTAGCCTCCTGCTCTTCCACATTCCCTTCCCCACGTTTTTCCCTCTCTGATTCTTCCTTCTTCCTCCTTAACTCCTGCCATTCCTGAACCCTTCTCCTCCGTTTCTCCATCTCCTCGTCCAGTCTTTGCTGCTCATCTTCCATCTCCTGTTCCCTACTCTTCTTCTCTTTCTTCTCCAACTCATCCTCACCACTCTTTTTCTTAGCAGGACTTTCTCCTCTAGTCGATTTGCTTTCTCTCTCCTTATAATCATCACCATCATCATCATCGTCTCGTTCCCTCCTTCGACGCTTCCTATGTCGTTCCTTTTCCTCCTTACTATCATCACTATTATATTCCCTCCGCTTCTCCCTTTCCCTTTCCCTTTCCCTTTCCCTCGACTTCCTCTCTCTCTCCCTTTCCTTTTCCCTTTCTCTTTCCCTCTTCTCCCTTTCCCTTTCTCTTTCCCTTTTTTCCCTTTCCCTCTCCCTTTCCTTTTCCCTTGCCCTTTCCCTCTCTTTTTCTTTTTCCCGTTCCCTATCTTTCCTCTCCCTCCGGTGTTTTTCTTTTTCCCTTTCCTTTTCCCTATCGGAATCACTGCTCTTCTCTCTCTCGGAACGGCGCCGTTCTCGATCCCTATCCCTATCTCTTCTCTCACGGTGCCTTCTCTTTTCCGAATCTTCCATTGCTCAGAAAACCCTAAAAAACAAATTTCTTAGGTTATAAACAGAAAAAAAAAAAAAAAAAAAAAGGAATTAGGGATTGGAAATTAAAAAAAAAAGGAAAAATTCTAAAGTAAAATCAAATATAATGAATCGAATAATGAAAGCTTAAAAGAAAAAAGAAAAAAAAAAGAAATTGGACAAAAATTACGGGAAGAGGTGGACTCACCAATTCTGTTCTTAAACTTAGGTACGATTCCCCTCTACGTTTCTCAGTTCATTTGTTCTGCGTAAGGAATTGTTTTCCTTTTATATTTTATTTTGGGCTGATTTGTGGGCTAGGCTGGACTTGATTTTTTACCCAGTTAATAGATCAATTTGGACTCAAGGGATTAATGTTTTGGGCTGGGCTTTGGTTCTTCTTTGTCTTGTCAATTGAGCAACTACCCCTCCGTAGTCAGATTCAGCTTTCAACTAAACGTTGTCGACGCGACAGAGTGTTTTGGGTGGAAAGTTCGTTAGTTAGCATTTGCTGGTGAGAAACTTGATCCATCGACGCTTCAATTTGCTCTATACGGCCTTGAGGAAAATTGAAAATCAAGTCTCCTTGCCTCAGGACCATCAATTATAAAGATTTTTAATCGTATAAACCAATTTATGCAATTAAAGACATTTTTTGTTATGAAAAAAACCGATTTTAAACTTATCATGTGACATTTCTTAAAATTGTCAAAAAGTTGAAGAACATCCAATTATTCCATTTTGATTGCACCACTTTAAACCCAACCATGGATTTTCACTGATGAAAAATGAATATAAAGGAGCAAATACACGCACTCCATGAAAAATGCAGTACCAAGGAAATAGTAAAAACTAATTTTAATAATACATAAAATCCAGTTTGAAGTGCTGGTAGGAATAAAAGCATGAATTCTTTCGCAAAAAAAGTAGTACATTTTATAAACTCTTATTATGCAATAGATTCTATACCTCCCCAACAAGAGCTCTTGCAAGTACGCTAACTTCAGCTTCGAGCTAAAACTTAGGCATTCTTCTTTATCTCAGCAGATTTGATAATATCAATGAACTCCGGCTGGTGAGAAGACAATAAACATAAGCCCAAAATATCAGGAACAGAACCAACCATAAAGAAAATTGAAAACGAGCAGAGATGGAAAGGAGGAGAGTAGCAATATCATTACCTTCAGTGATGCTCCACCAACCAAGAAACCATCAACATCAGGCTGAGCTGCTAGTTCCTTGCAGTTTGCAGCAGTGACAGACCCTGAAATAGGGATCCTGTTAAAAACTAAGGCAAGCAACAAGGAAGAACATACAGCTATTTTATTTTGTATTTTGCTATTGTTAAGACATTTGACATGCTAGTGCAAAGACAAATTCACCAAAGATAAGCAAATCTTGCCTGTGCAAGAGATTTATATTCTTTTCCATTTAACTACAATGTGATAATGATGCCAATTGTTTGATCTATTCATTATTTCCCTATTAGAGAAGAAACGGGACCTAAGCCCAATAGAGGTAAAAATGGGAACCAAGTTGCTCTTGGAGCTAAAAGTGGTTTACCGTTTATGAAGAGCTAGATAAAATCCAGTATTTTACAGAAATGTTTTCAGTTTATGAAGTTCATTACCTTTAGAATATGAACATTGGAAAAAAGGGCCTACCTACTGAACTTTCATTCAGGATTGCAAGAATAACTTAAGGATAAGATAAAGAGGCAAGAGTAGACAGAAGATGTGGAATACCTCCATAAATAATCCGGGTTGATGCAGCAACATCAGGACTGACGTTTGCTTGAAGCCATTTCCTCAACTCAGAATGTACCTATTACATTTACAAAAACTTTGTAAGTAAATCTTCACCACATTATTCCTAGACATTAAATGCAAAATTGACCTAAGAATTTATCATCTACACTTGTATACAACATAAAAGTAAGTCAGAGAAACACCATTATGAGGTTTTTAGACTTACTTCCTGTGCTTGAGCTGGAGTAGCAACCTTCCCAGTTCCAATAGCCCACACAGGCTCATAGGCCAAAACAACATCCGTCCAGTTTGATACTTTTGCTGGCATTCAAAATTACACAGGAAACCAGCCAGACGCTTAGATTTTGTAGCAGTTAGTACTCAAATTAGTGATGCAGAAACAGCATTTGTTAAAGAAGGGTGAGTACTAATATGTACTAATTGCAACAATACATGCAGTATAGCAAAAAAAAAGTTGTACTTACACAAAATATCCAATAAATATAGCACCTAAACAATTAACAAATGCTGACCACACTGACACAAGGTCTGCTACCTTGACATATAAAAGTTTTTAAGAGTACCACCAAAAGAATAGCACCATAGGCTTTACAGATGCAAAAAAAGCAGTAAATATGTACCTGCAATTGCTTTAGTTTGTGCAGCAACAACCTCCATGGTAGATCCTGCTTCACGTTGCTCAAGTGTCTCCCCAATACAAGCAATCACCTTCAAGCCTTGAGAAAGTGCATAAGCAACCTTATCCCCAACAAACTAACACAAAAGTACCAAAATTGCTAAGTTAACAAAATGTTGAAAGTTTGACTGACAAGCAAAATTGAAACTATATTTACCAATTCATCAGGAAGGAAGTATTACCAGATGTTAGTAGTAATAGTCTGATCAAACACAGCTTACCTCATTTGACTCCTTCAAAATAAGTCTCCTCTCAGAGTGACCAATAATGACCCATGGAATGCTCAAATTGTCAAGCATCTCTGCACTGAAAAAAATACATAAATTGTTAGCTTAAAAGATTTGTTATAATGTCAAACCAAACAGATGGCTGGATCAAACTGCATCAACTGAAGCATTTGCAAAAAAAAAAACCAAAAAAAAAACAACGACAACAACATCATCCTTTCTTTAATTGTGAAGATGATCTTTCTTCTTTCAAAACAGAATGATACAAATATGTTTGCTTGAGCAAAAAAAGAACAACATCTAAATGTGAAGAATTAAAGTTCATGTCCATTAAAGAAAAAAAATAAATTGGATTGAAAGACTAAACAATAAGTAATAGTAGACAGCAAATGTGGGCATACCTAACCTCACCGGTGAAAGCACCTCCTTTATTGACCCAACAATTTTGTGCAGCAACATGAAAATCAGGCCTCAGTGAACTTTTTACCAAAGGCAGGAACACAAACGGAGGGCTAACCACAACCTCTGCAAAAGGATAACACGTTACCCCAAATAAGTTATCTGCTCTATCATCACTTTCAATACCAATAAAGGAGAAAATAGATGTAGCAAAGAAAACAACAAGTACCACAGCACGCGGGGCACAACAAAAGATTAAAGCAGATAAAGAAATCAGTCAATAAGCAGCTAAAACCGAAAATCTAACGATGGAATTGTGATAAGTATGTTAAATTACAAGGTAATTACAGAATAACTAATCTAACCCAAAAAAAAACTGTAATTACTTTTGCTTTAAAAATGAAAAAGAAAATTGATTTATACTTTGCTATGAATTTGGTAGTTTCCATCAATTTTTCACTAATGCAGGCTTCAAAATCGCAGTACAAGTATAAAAAATCAAGTTCAGAGAATAAAATTAAAAATATATTTTAAAAAATAGTAATCGATTCACTTACCAACAACATCCTGAGAAGGCACCTCTCCTCCATTCAATGTACTCACAATCTTGTTCACTTCTTCAATGGTGCCATTCTAAAAACATTTTTTTGCTTAAAATTAGAAATTAAAATAAAAAAAAGACATTAATATATTATTAAAGATCTATCATGAAATTAATAGCTATTATTTTCCCTAATATAATTTATTAATAATAATTGACCAAAAAAAAATTGAAACGGTTGGATAAAGCTAGTAGTCATTTTCTGTGGAACCAAACAGAAAATAGATCATAGAAACAATAAGGAATACTTTTCAAAAAATAATTTAAAAAAAGAGGAAAATACGAAGAAAAAACTTACGCATTTCCAGTTTCCGCCGACGAAGAACTTCCTTCCCATTTTTATTTTTATTTTTTGCTCCACGATCACGAAAATCGCCAAAGCTCAAGCTTTTAACTAACTTTTGGCTTTGGCTTTAGGTGAGCGCGTGACGACATACCTAAAAACACAGTATTAAACGAAATTACTATTATAGTCAATAGATTAGGATATTCTTAGTGGATGTTAAGGGTAATTAAGTGAAACTGAAATAGCGAATTGGATTTTCAGATTTTTAAGGCCGGTATAGTGGGCCCACAGGATTAGGTCGGTTACTCAGGTGAAGGGAAGGTGAAGGCCACGTCGTCACCTACGGGGTCATCCTCTCACGCCTATCGTTCAGCGTTTTTAGTATAATCATTATGATATAATTAACTAATTTAATTTAAAATAAAAAATTATTATTAATAGTAAAATTTTTAATTTTATAAATAATATTAAGATAATAATACATATTTTTTATATATTTAAAAACTTTAATTTTTAAGAAAATAAAGCATGTATCATCATTTTAAATTAATTTATAAAATTAAAAAATTTTATTATTAATGTATTAAATAATTTTTTATTTAAAATTATATAAAATTTATCAAAAATTTATAATGAAATATATAAAACTTTTATTATAATAAAAATTTGAAGGTGATTTTCATTGTCCTCACGTCATATAGTTCCATCCGTACCATGGGTCATGCGCGACCGTGGTAGACAAATTTTTTTTTATATTTTATATTTGTTATTTTTTATTATTTTTATTTGGCCATGTATATATATTTTTAATTAATAAAATAAATCCAGATCTCAAAGATATTTTTTATTAACTTTTTTTGGGCATGTCTTTTTTTTTTTTAATCAGACCTTTTGGGCATGTCTTTTAGCAACGGAATCATTGATATTTATATATGTTAGCTTTTGATACATTTATTGTGTGGGTGAACAAATTTTTAATTAAAAATAAATTTTATGTTTTTTAAAGGTATCTGAAGAATTAGATTTGTTAACAAGTTTTAAAATTTTTTGCTATAATTAAAAAAATATAAATACATATATGTATTTAATTTTAATTTTATTATTACAATTAGTTTTTTATCTGTGTAAATACACATAATTTTTATATTTATAATAATATTTTATTTACTTCATTAAAAATTTAATTATAATTTTTAAAAATTTTAAAATTTTATTTTTGTCGTTAAATATTTGTATCTTCTCTCTTTTTATTTTTAATTAAATTTATATATTTAATGTTAAAATCTTTGATTTAATTTTTAATTTCATAAATTAAAAGTACACAATTTAAAAATAAAAAAATATAATTTCTCAACAAAATTTTAAATAACTTTTTGACCTCCATCTTAATTTAGAAATATATATTAATAAATATTTAAATTTTTTTAATTAAATTCATTTCATAAATTAGATTGCTTAATTGGTAAAAAATAGAAAATTGCTATGTATATATATATATATATATATATGAAAGGTTTACATAATATCCAAACGTAATAAGTATTTATAGATCTAAAAATTATAAGAAAAAACCTATAATTAAGATAAAGTGTAATTAAAATTTAATAATGAAGGTGATCAAAAAATTAAAAAATTTAAGTTGAAGACAAAAATGTGATTTAAAAGTCGAACCGATAAAAATTCATTAGATTTTAAATAATTTAAAAAATTTTCATCATAATAAAATAGAACTTAAAGCAGTAGCAATAAAATGAAAACTTTTTAAAAAGTAAATAACATACTCAAGGAAACAAAAAAAAAAAACTTATTCTATTTGAAATATCCATTATTTATTTTTATTGATTGTATAAATCATTGTAAAAAGAAAATAAAAAAATTTAAGCAAAGAAATAGAGTTTTAGAAAAGAAATATTAATGAAAAAAAAATTTTTGAATGAAAATTTTGAAGAAATTTGGAATGGAAGAAGTAAAGAAAAGAGTTTTAAATATAATAGAATAGCAAAAATCTATTATGTTTTCAATTTTATATAGAGTATTTTAAAATATAAATAATTGATCATGGTTTTATCTATTTATTTAAATGGGTTTTTTATCATCTTATTTAACTATATATTTATAAAAATATATTAAGATAGATATTTTTAAGTCCTTAAACCAACAATTTTAAGTAATAATTTATGCATGCTCTTATTAATTTAAAATTTTTTAAATATTTTAAATAAATGTAAATAATATTAAATAAAATAAAATAATCATACATAGTTTTATCTGTTTTCAAATTAATATTTGAATATTTATTATTCTTTAATGATTTAGTTTAAACATTTTTTATATTTGATTACTTTGATAATATATATTATAGTTATTTATTATTATCCTATGTATCATCTAAAGAAACTATTCACCTAAACATTCATATAAATAAACCTTATCAAATTTGTATATATGTTATAATATAATGTTCTATATGATTTAGCTTCTTGTTTTAAGTAAATTTATCGATTAAGTTGGCGTGCAATTAAATTTTGACACCAACTTAATAAATCACTTTAATGTTTTTATTTTATTATATATATGCACTAATTTTATGCACGTCCACTTAATATGTGAATGAAATACTAAAATAATAAATAATTTATTATTAATAAAAATAAATTAGTTAGATATGAGAAAAGATTAGCTAATTAAATGTACAATTATGTTATAAGAATGTATGATTATTTAATAGCGAGAAAATATTTTTAAAAAAATAATGATGCAATTTATATTTATTTGATAACCCTTGTAGCATATTTATAATATTTGTAATATTTTTATTACTTTTATAACTTGTTATAGTATTTTTAATCATTTTTATAGCATTTGTAGCATTTTTGTAACTTTTTGTTTTTTTGTTTTAAGTTATACTCGTAATCATATATTATATTTATATTATTAACTATTACATCATTAAATTATCATTAATAAATTATAACTTAATTAAATAATCAACATGTAGAGTAAAACCTAAATTAAAACTTTTTCCGTATCATTTACATTTTTATAATCAAACGACTCACTGGCATTTTTGTAACATGGGTATGATTTTTGTAAAAATTTGTACTATTTTTTATAAGCTTTGTAACACTTTTTATAACCTTTGTTATGATTTTGATAACCATTGTAGCGTTTTTTATAACTTTTGCAATAGTATTGATATAATTTTGATAATTTATAATAATTTTAATAATATTTGATATAATTTTGATAAATTTTATAGTATTTTTAGCATATTTTATAACCTATTATAGTATTTTTAATTTTATAATAATTTTGATAATTTTTGTAAAAATTTTATTATTTTATAAAATTTTATGTATGTAGATTAATAATATTTTCCTAAAATATTAAAGTTTTATTCACTAAACAATAGAAAAAAGTTTAACCTTTTCATATTTTTTTTATAAAAATGAAAGTTTCATTTGTTAAAAATTAAATCAAAACCATTAATTAATCTAATAAAATCGATTATGGATTCATTTGCATGGACATTAAATTAATTTTAATAAATTAAAAAATAATGATAACAATAAAATTAAATATTATATTAATTATTTTAAAATAAGTGATAAATATATTTATTTAAATATAAACATAACGATAACAATAATATTAAAAATGAAATTAAATTCAGTTAACTATTTGACCCTTTTCCAATTGAAAACCGAAGTGGCTGCTAGGATGCTATCAAAATGCTCACATGGTGCTGTTAGGAGAAAATTTCTCCAGGATTCTAAGGCGACGTGGAATCCAAATGAGGTTTATGGCCTAAATCTAGTGATTTGTATATCTGAGTCATATAAAATATTAAAATTTATATATTTATATTATATTTAATAAAAAAATTATATATCATAATTTGTATCATGATGAAAATATAAAATATATATTTTTAATTTTATTAATTTTATATATAATTATTGTTAAAATTTTAAATCATATCATTTTTATGTTTTATATTTATATTATATTTATGTTGTGTTTTAAATTGACAAATCAATTATGACCAAAACTTTTATGAAAATTAATTTGAATTATTATTATTATTATTATAAATTTATTTATATAAGTGTTATATTATTTTTTATTAAAATTAAATTCATAATATTTATTTTTAAGTATTTTAATTCAAATATTAAAAAAATGACATAACACTTACATTGAAATAAGTGAATCTCTCATCTATTATTATTATTATTATCATCAAATATATCCTAAAAAATGTGTTAACCCTTAAAACTCATATGTTGTGGATTTATGAAATAATTTTTAATTAAACTTACCATGATGCCACATTATTATTAGGATAATATATTTTTAATGTCTACAAAAACTCTAATTAGATTAATATATTTTAATGTAAAATCTATCATCAATTTTACTAATTTCTAAATACAACTTTTTTTATTAAAATTATTATTATCTAAACTCACTAAACATCTACAAATTTTCAACTCAATACCTCAAATTTTATTATTCACAACCCAAACAAAATTCTTGCCATTTACAACATTCAAAATCATTACTCCTTCTTACATATTTCTTTTATTTCCCAAACTCTCTCACCCTAAATCTATATAAACTAAATATGATAATTTAAAATATGAAACAATGATACAAATACGAAAACGATACGAATAAAAAACATGAAAATAATATGACTTAAAATTTTAAAATATTATAAATGAGTTTAATAAAAAAATTATATTTTATATTTTTATATCGATACGAACTATGACATATTATTTTATATCAAACATAATACAAATATGATATTTTATATAATATGATGATACAATTTGTTAGATATAATCAAAACAAAATCTCACTATAAAAATTTCAATCAAAATTTAAATCATAACTTTCGGATGAAATTATGTAATTTGCATTTTGGTGTAAGGTGCATTTGATTTTTATTATATTTTGATTAAAATGAAAAATGATTTATTAAGGGATTGTTTTATGGTTTTACGAATTACAAAAAATACATATTTTTAAGTTTTTAAAAAGTTATGAATTTGCATGTTTATAAGTTTTAAAAGTTTATAAAAATGCATATGTAAAAAGCTTAAAGATATGTACATTCATAATTTTTTAAGTGAAAAGAGTTAAAAATAATTTGATAAAAATTAATTAAGTAAATTTTATGAGAATATTTTTATAGTAAAAAATGTGATTGCGTCGAAATTATTTATTTATTGGAATTGGAAGCTGCTTTAATATATTCACCGAATGTTCTTTTATTATTCTTCTTAAAACTACAATGACAAACCACAGCCATCCGATCGTTCAAATCTCATCGTGATTCGCAGCCATACCAAGTTGTTTTCTGGAATGTTCCAAAATCCCGCTCAAAAGTTTCAAATTCAAAAAATCCTAGCCCCTTTCCCTAATTAGATCCCCTCAAGCCCCCAACGTCTCTCTGCTATTCAAATCCCAAAAAAAAAAAAAAAAAAGCCAAAAAATCCCAAATCCCCCATGGTTGCAGATTCGAAGCTCCCGCTGCAAAGCAGCAACAACGCGAACATGAAAGCTTCCAAAACCATCGAAGAAACCTACCAAAAGAAAACCCAATTAGAACACATCCTACTTCGACCCGACACTTACATCGGCTCAATCGAGCAACACACTCAGCGGCTCTGGGTTTACGAAAACGACGAGATGGTTCACCGTGACATTAAATACGTTCCAGGGCTTTACAAAATCTTTGACGAGATCTTGGTTAACGCCGCCGATAACAAGCAACGGGATCCGTCAATGGATTCCGTTAAAGTAGTGATTGACGTGGAACAGAATTTGATTTCCGTTTATAATAACGGAGATGGAGTTCCCGTGGAGATTCATCAGGAAGAAAGGGTTTATGTTCCGGAGTTGATTTTTGGGCATTTGTTGACCAGTAGTAATTACGACGATACTGTTAAAAAGACTACCGGAGGAAGAAATGGGTACGGTGCTAAGCTTACCAATATCTTTTCAACCGAGTTTGTTATCGAAACGGCTGATGGGAAACGGCAGAAGAAGTATAAGCAGGTATTTCTTTAGTTTATTTTTAATTTTTTATTGTATGTTTTTTTTTTTTTATTGGTTGTTGATTTTGGACGCAAAAATTAAAAAGAAAAGTGTGTTTGGATGTGAGTTTCTTTTTTTTTTATACTTGATTATTGATTTGAATTTCCAGTATTTGTTGATGATAAGATTAAAGATTGAAGTAGGCAATGGTTTTGATTCACTGAGGATGTGGTTTCAAATAGGGTTACCTTATGGAAGCAACTTATAGCTAAAATGAGGGTTTAAATGCCTCGGTTCATAGCTTATCAAACAAATTTATACACGAAATTATATGTTATTTCTTTGGTTTTCTTGTTTGGTTGCTTGTTTTCGAAGCATAAATGACAAAAAAAGAAGAAGAGGTGTTTGGACGTGGGTTTTTTGTTTTATATTTGATTATTGATTTGAAATTTCACTATTTATTGCTATGGTTGAAGATTTGAAGGAAGTAAGTAGTTTTGATTTAGTGAGGATATGGTTTGAAATAGGCTTACCCTATGGAAGGAACTTTTAGCTATAATTTGGGTTTAAATGTCTCTGTTCATAATTCGAATGTTAGTTTTGATATTGGGTTAACTTGAGGCAATTCAAACTATTGATTTAGCAATAGCATTAGTACTATTTCATGGTTCGTTAGCTTTTTGAATATATTTATACGCGAAATTCAGATGTTATTTTTTTTTGCATCTTTAGTAATTAATAGCAATTTAAACTGCTGTTTTTTCTTGAAGGTGTTTTCAAACAACATGGGAAAGAAATCTGAGCCTGTTATAACCAAATGTAAGGAGGGTGAGAACTGGACAAAGGTTACATTTAAACCTGACTCAATTGGAGGATGATGTGGTTGCGTTGATGACCAAGAGGGTGTTTGATTTAGCTGGTTGTCTTGGCAAGACTGTGAAGGTGGAGTTGAATGGGAAGCGCATTCCTGTGAAATCATTTCTTGATTATGTCAACCTTTACCTTAGTGCTGCCTCTAAAACTAAGGATCAACCTCTCCCAAGGTCTGTATTATGAATTTTCGTTAGGTGTTTGTTTTTGTTAATGTTGAAGGGATTTTACTTATTTGAACTTGTTTGTTTTACCAGGACTATTGAGAAAGTTAATGCAAGATGGGAAGTTTGTGTGAGTCTCAGCGAAGGGCAGTTTCAACAGGTATCTTTCTGATCTGATTAAAGTTGTTGTGGTTAGATTTTAGAGTAGTTATGTTGATTTTTTGGGTTTTTCTCTAATTACCAGGTCAGCTTTGTTAATGGGATAGCTACGATTAAGGGTGGAACCCATGTTGACTATGTCACTAATCAGATATCTAATTATGTGATGAATGTTGTAAATAAGAAGAACAAGAATGCTAATATCAAAGCACATAATGTGAAGAACCATCTGTGGGTTTTTGTCAATGCTCTTATTGACAACCCTGCTTTTGATTCTCAAACCAAGGAAACTTTGACACTTCGTCAGAGCAGTTTCGGCTCTAAATGTGAGCTTTCAGAAGATTTTTTGAAGAAAGGTTTGTCAAAATAGCTCACTTTTATGTACATTACACAAAGCAGTAAATAGCTAACTAATTTGGTCCTTGGACGGTGAATTACTTTGCAGTTGCAAAGTCTGGAGTTGTGGATAGTTTGCTGTCATGGGCAGAATACAAGCATAACAAAGATCTTAAGAAGACTGATGGAGCTAAGTCAGGAAGTATTCGTGGGATCCCCAAGCTAGATGATGCTAATGAAGCAGGAGGGAAGAATTCAGATAAATGCACTTTGATTTTGACAGAAGGAGATTCCGCAAAAACTCTTGCAGTAAGTTGTCATGTTTTAACAGTTCAAGTTTGATTTTTCAGTATGATATGAGTATCTTGATACAACGTAATTATATTAGGGTTATTTTGAGTTCCTAATGGATTCAGACTTTTTGCAGGTGGCTGGGCTTTCTGTTGTAGGCCGAAATCACTATGGTGTCTACCCATTGAGGGGTAAACTTCTCAATGTGAGGGAAGCAAGCCATAAACAATTAATGGATAATGCAGAAATACAAAATCGCAAGCGGATTCTTGGATTGCAGCAGGGCAAGGAGTATTCTAATGTCAAGTCTTTGAGATAAGGGCATTTGATGATAATGACTGATCAGGTCTAATGCAGCTCATGCTTTTCTTGTTGGATTTGTATTTTTGTTTTTATCTTTTCTTTGTTGTCTTCATGCTAAGAAGCTCATGATCGGCTTGCCATAAAAAGTCTCACATTCTGCATTTTCTTCAGGATCATGATGGTTCCCATATTAAAGGTCTTCTGATTAATTTTATTCATTCCTTCTGGCCATCGCTGCTAAAAATTCCATCTTTCATGGTTGAGTTTATAACTCCTATTGTGAAGGTTAGTGTACCTTCGGCAAGCTAGATTTTACTGGTTGAACATCTTGAAACGAGCTTATTATATTAACGCTATCTCTTTCCGCAGGCTACTCACAAAAATAAGGAAAAGTTATCCTTTTATACCATGCCTGAATATGAGTCTTGGAAGGAAAGTTTGGGGGCTAATGCAAAAGATTGGTCAATTAAGTACTATAACTAAGGAAGCAATGAAACAGTACAGATTTCTGCTGTCTACTGCTTTGTGGTGTTGTTGCTTTTCTTCCATAAATTTCGGCATGTCCTTGTAGGGGTTGGGAACAAGCACAGCAGCAGAAGGGAAGGATTACTTTAGAGATCTTGACAAGCACAAGAAAGAATTTCGCTGGGAAGGTGACCAGGATGGGGATGCAATAGAGCTTGCATTTAGTAAGAAGAAGATAGAAGCAAGGAAGAATTGGCTGCGGCAGTTAGAGGTTTGCAATCGTTACAGTTTCTTTCAACCTATAATGCAATGTTTCTAGAGAATATGTAAATTATGAAATAGCCTCTTGATGGAATTTTGTTACCTTTATGAGTTGCAGCCTGGCACGCACCTTGATCACAATCAGAAGCTCATCAAATATAGTGACTTCATTAATAAGGAACTTATTCTGTTTTCCATGGCTGATCTTCAAAGGTCAATTCCTTCAATGGTTGATGGCTTGAAGCCTGGTCAAAGGAAGATCCTTTTCTGTTCTTTCAAGAGGAATTTTGTAAAAGAAGCGAAGGTTGCTCAATTTTCAGGTTATGTTTCCGAGCATTCTGCTTACAATCATGGTGAGCAGAGTCTTTCTAGTACCATTGTTGGAATGGCACAAGATTTTGTGGGCAGTAACAACATAAACCTTCTCCATCCAGGTGGTCAATTTGGCACTCGTAACCAGGTTAGTTGAAGTTCCTCTTGGTTGTTAAAAACAGTTCGATAGAGTCACGGCGCATTTGTGTTGTTATGGAAAAGGAGAATTGAATTTCGTCTATAAGATAAATTCGTCTCGTGAATGTATAAGTGAAAATAGTTCGCTATTGGCATTATGCTTTGGAAATTCAAAAAAAGATTTGAGTTTAAAAACTTAAAATAAAAACAACAAGAAAGAAAATAAACATTAATTTACAAATTCAAAAAAAAAAACCCATAAAACTTAAATTTTCAAAAAAATCAATTCTCTCAAGTTTAACTTCAATCAAAATCAAGTATATGTAATTTAAAGTAGACAATTAATTTAACATTCAAATTATCTTTTTTTTTAATTTCCAAATTTGTTATGATTTTGTGTGTTTGGGATTAGATTGGGTTATGTTACATTTATAGAAGGAGGTAAGAGTTGCTGAGACTTAAAATAAGAGATGAGAGTGAAACTTGAGGTTTACAGAAGCAAATAGATAATATACACTAAATAAAAAGAGAACTGAGAGATGGGGATGAGAATGAAGGTTTGGAGAAAAAAAATTATTGAATGCAAGGTGAAGGGATAAGAAATTGTGTGGGTCTGTGTAATTTAGTTAAGAGACAAGAGAAGTAGATTTGAAGTTATTATTGTTGAAAATTGACCATAACATGGAGGTTGTCAAGTTTGATTTACTGTAAATTCATAAAAAGCAATTCTTTTGACTCATAAATAATAATGCTCTTACTTAATTTGTGAATACTTAATCACTTATTATTTGATTTATGCATAATATAGTTCGGTAATAATTTGATGAGTACGGTAATTAAATAATTAAATATATTATTCGTTATGATTATTTATTTTTCACATATTTATTTATCTCTTTTTATTTTTTAATTATCATAAAAATAATTTTTTAAATATGAATATTTTACTATAAATATTTTTTCTTAAATAAATAAAATACATGATAAGATATAAATTACTTTAAAAATCATAAAATAAGAGATTTTATGATTAATAATTAAAATTATTATATTTTATAGCAAGTTGAGCAAAATTTAAAAAAATTCACGACCGTAATGGTCGCAATGACCGCGAAGGTCTCCATTATATTCACAATCGTGACAAACGCGATGCAACCGAAAACGTGACCGTTACTGCAATTTAAATTCCTGGTTAAAACTGAATCGAGTTCAGACCATCACATCTGAATTTTTATTACTCTTTTATCTACTCATGCAAAATCTGTTGCTTTCATGTGTCACAGGGTGGCAACGATGCTGCAAGTGCTAGGTACATTTTTACCAATCTTTCTCCCATTACTAGGTATTTGTTCCCCATGGATGACGATGGCCTACTCGACTACTTGAATGAAGATGGTCAATCCATTGAACCAACCTGGTAAATTGAAATTTACAGCACCAAATACTTTATTTTGAAACCGTGTGTACATGAAGGTAATGCCTTTGTTCTGGTATTTAGGTATGTGCCCATTATACCAATGGTTCTTGTTAATGGAAGTGAAGGAATTGGGACAGGATGGAGCTCTTACATTCCAAACTATAACCCAAGAGATATAGTTGCAAATGTGAGGCGCTTATTGAATGGTGAACGAATGGAGCCCATGCATCCATGGTATAGAGGATTTAAAGGAACTATTGAGAACACTGCATCAAAGGAAGCTGGTGTTACCTACACTGTTGCTGGAATTATAGAGGAGGTTGATGAGACCACACTCAGAATAACAGAACTACCAATCCGTAGATGGACTCAAGATTACAAGGATTTTTTGGAATCTATCATAACGGGAAATGACCCTTTTATTAAGGTAAAATCTGCTACTTTCAAATCCCTCTTTCTATTGTTTATGGCTCTTGTCTCATAAATTATTGTACTGGTTGTAGGAATTTAGACAATACAGTGATGATACAACTGTAGAGTTTGAAGTTACCTTGACCGAGGAGAACATGATGATGGCCAAGCAAGAGGGTTTGCTTAAGAAGTTTAAGCTAACAACAACAATTAGCACAAGTAACATGCACCTGTTTGATTCTAGAGGAATGATTAAGAAGTATGACACCCCAGAGGAAAGTATGTGCTAATCCATTGCAATTTTGGTGTAGTTAACAATTCATTTTCTGTTGCATAACATGCATATTACTGCAATACTGACTTCTTAATATGTGTAAATGCAGTCCTTGAGGAATTTTTTCACTTAAGACTTGAATTTTATGATAAAAGAAGGGTAAGGTCACTTGAGTTTTTTTGGAGTTATTGAAGGTCATCATTATGCACGAACCTATATTATTTTATTTGGACAGAGATATTGATTAAAAACCTATCATATGCTGCAGAAACTTCTGTTGTACAATCTTGAAATGGAGTTGTTGAAAATGGAAAACAAAGTTAGGTTTATCCTTGGAGTTGTAAAGGGGGAAATCGTTGTGAATAACAGGAAGAGAGCTGACCTCTTCGTTGAGCTGCAAGAGAAAGGTTTTACTCCTTTTCCAAAGAAGTCTAAGACTGTTGAAGTTGCTGTGGCCGGTGCTACTGATGATACAGAGGAAACTGAGAACTCTGATGCTAGCGCCAAAGGAGTAATGGGTGGTGATTATGACTATCTATTGTCCATGGCAATCGGAACTCTGACACTTGAGAAGGTCAATGAGCTTTGCTCTGATAGGGATAAAATCCAGCAGGATGTTGAAGATTTGAAGAAAGCCACTCCCAAGTCTTTATGGCTAAAAGATCTTGATGATCTTGAGATACAACTTGATGTATGAACCGGAAACTAGTTTTGTGTTGAGTCGAGTACTTTTTCTATCAATGATCGCATTGTTAGGATATTTTCTTGTATAATCAGGTGCTCGATAAAGCTGCTCAGGCAGAGGAAGCAGGAAAAGTAGTTAAAGGCAGAGCAAAGGGTGAAGCTGGCAAGAGGGCTCAGAGACAACCAACTAAAAACTCACGGAAGATAAATAAGAAAGACAACAATGCAAAAGTTGTGACAGAAAACTTGGAATTTTCATCCAGTTCAGCAATGGAAACAGGTGACCTTGCGATTCTATCTACTATTTCTCTTCTGGCGATGGTGTATTTTTCCGTGTTGTAATTGTTTGGCTTTTGCTTTTCCTAAAAATTGATTATTATTTGCACTTGGTTCACCAGAGAATGTTCCTGCTGTGGTGAAGCCAAAAGGCCGGGGTGGTTCAAAGAAGGCTGAAAAGGTGAAGTTCTTGTTCTGTTTCATGTCAGGATGATTGTGAGAATGATAAATGTTGATTTTATAGTCTCTTTTTCATGTATGGTGCTCTTTGAACTAAAGAGTGTTACTTCTATGTTTATTGGCAGGATGACAGTGACGATGATGAGGACATTGATATTCCTGGTCTAAGGGCGCGACTTGCCAAGCATAACATTGATTCGTCTCCCGATAATTCAGAAGGTATGTTTAATCACAGAAGCAGAATATAAACTATGAAGGGTCTTATGAACAATTGCAATTATAGCATAACCATGTTAGTCAAACATTTAGGTGCCTTTTTAAACTGAAAACAGGCTTGGTTTCCAGAAACGAAGTCATATGGATTTGATAAAAGAAAGTGTTTCTATCTTCATAAGAACATTTTATATGATGCATTAAAGATCAAATTCTTGATGAAAAATATGTATCATCAAGATTTTGCTTATAATGAAACTTACGTTATTTGGTTCCCACAGATATGGAAACTGAAGTGCCCAAAGAACCAGCTGGGAAGAAGGAACCTAGCAAAAGGGCTGCTGCTGCTACTAAGAAGAAGCCAGTAATGTCACTTTCAGAGATTTCTGAGAGCATAGGTGAAATTGACATCAACGATGAAGACTTGGAGGTTATGGAGGTAGCAGCAGCTCCAGAAGCAAGAAAAAAGGGAGGAAGAAAAACCGCTGCAAATTTAAAAGCAGCTAAGCCCCTTGCGGCGGTAAAGAAGAGAGGGCCAGCAGCAGGCAAGCAGAAGCTTTTGACAGAAATGCTGAAGCCAGCAGCAGAAGAAGGTTCAGGGATATCGCCGGAGAAGAAAGTGAGGAAGATGAGGGCTTCTCCATTTAACAAGAAAAGTGGTTCAGTCCTAGGCAGGGTTGGCATTGGCAAGGAGATAGAGACAACAACTGATAGTGAAGAAACATTTGGTTCTGCTTCTATGTCTGGAAACGACAGTGCAGAAGTGACTGAGGTTATCCAACCAAGACCCAGACCTCAAAGGGCCAACCACAAGCAGACAATATATGTTGTTAGTGATTCTGAAACTGACAATGCTACTGATGATTCTGATTTTGAGGAAGATGAAGACAATGTTAAAAACAGGATGCATGTTTTTCTTCGGTTGAGGAACCCTAACTAGTAAACTTGTAACTGTCTAGAAATGGGATATATTTCAATGGGAAATTTAGGCTTGTTTCCCTTGAAACCTTTTACGTTTGTTATCTTTGACTGAATTTTAACTCATTGAATTTGATTGATTCCATTTTTTTAAATATTACATAATATTATAAGTTTTAAAAATTTGATCCAAATTTAGATTAATTTTTTATACATTTAAATTAAATTGAATTGAATTTTATTTGAAATTAATTTTTTTATAAATTATTTTAATTTTTAAAATAAATTTTAATATAAAATTATTATTTATTTTATAAAATTTAAAAAATATATAATTCAATTTAATTTTAATTTTAATTTTAGTCAAATAAAGAAAAAATGAATAAAATCAAATTAAATATTTCGGTTATGAATTAATTTTTAATTTTTTATCCCTAATTCTTTATATGTTTATTTTGTCTTAATTATGTATAAAATATAAAAATTATGGTTTATTGATATTGTAGATACCATTTGATCCGAACTCAATTGGGTATAGCTTAAATCACTTAATTATTTTATTTTATTTAATTAATTAATTAATTTTATATTTTGGATTTTATCTTTTTTATTATTTATTTGTTTGTTTTTGTTTATCTTTGATTTTTTTTAATTTATCTTTTAGGATAATAAGTTAATAGTACTGAAAAAAACTAAAAAATAAAAAATGGGAATTTTTATCTTGAATGGGGTTCGACGAAATTGTGAATGGATTCAATTAGTATAAGATAAATTATATGTTTTGTGAAATCCTGTCAATTGTAGACTTCTAATCAAATATAAATTCTTATAATTTTTGTCTTATAAATATTTATTGATCAAAGGCAACAAAATGACAAAAAAAACACATAAATCACCCATAATGACAGAGAGATTAGAAAACATAGTGAGAGATCACACACAAAAACACAGATATAAAAAAAAGCACACGAAAGTAGTCAAAATTTAGGGGGAAATTTTTGGATAAAAATTTTTAAAAAATTTTTAGAATCCGACGAAATTTTTAGTCAAATTTGAATTTTTTGACAAGATTTCGACCAGATCTAGATTCTGGTAAGTTTCCTAGTTTTCGATGACTGATTTCTAGAAACCGACCAACCTCCAGTGAACTTTTAACAAATTTACCCAAATTTTGATCAAAATTTTCAGAATTCGATGAAGTTCAATCGGTGTCGTGGGTTTTTAAGAGAAAGGAGAGAAGAGGGAAGAAGAGAAGAGGAGAAGGAAAATCTGAGGAAAAAAAAGTTAGAATTTGGGCTTTTATATCGTTCCCAAAATGATGTGGTTTTGGCATTTAAAAGGCCTCCGGATCTGCGCATTTCTATTCAGATGACCTGACCCGTAACGTTGACCCGTTTTTGACTCACGTATCAGCCGATTCCTTTGGCTGCGCTGAGCCACACTAAGTCGCCAAACCATGTCCCTGGAGTCAATTTATGTGCCTAAAGTTGAGCCATGTCAAAGCTAGAGTCGTTTTCGTTTTTGGTATTTTTTATTTTGTTATTTTATTTAATTTTTTAAAGTTTTTTTTATGATTAAATTTTGAGAAAAATAAAAAATATAAAACAAAATAAAATATTTGAGAATAAATAATAATTATCTAAAGATGAAATTTTTAAAAATTTCAAATGATAAATTTCTATAAAATTTTAGGTGAATTTTTTTTCTAAATTTGTCCAAAATGGTGGAATAATTTAGATAAAGTTTCAATAATAATAATTAATATTTATTTTCAATTCAAAAAAAAGGAAAAAATAAAAAATTTAATAGAAAGAAAATTTAATAAAAATTTTTGGTTAAAAATATTAGAAATTATTTAAGGATGAAAATCTTAGAAATTTCAAATACTTAATTCTTAAGAAATCTCTAAGTGAGAAGTTTTTTTAAATTTCATCCCGAAAGGTGGAAGAATTTAAATGAAACTTTAAGAAAATAGTTGTAATATTATTTTCTATAAAAAAAAAATTTTTAAATAGACTTAAATGGTGAAAAATTTGGAAATAAAAAATATAAATAAATAAAAATAAATTTCGATAATGAAATTTTTAGTCATCGCAAATGATCGATTATCTAAGAAAGTTTTAAGTGATAAGATATTTCTAATATTGGCCTAAATAATGGATGAATTAAAAATATTTTCAATAATAAAAAATGATTAAAAATTTTTTAGACGACGGAGCCTTTTCGAAAAAATAAATAAAATTTTTGAATACTCTTGAGGTGAGAAAGTATTTTTAAAAATTCTACCAAATTGATCGAGAAATCTTAGAAGTTATTTCCAATATTCAACATTAAAAACAAAAACCATTAGAACTAAAACAATTATCAGGATATTTAAAATTAAATGGTACCATCTTAAGATGAGTATTGTAGGAGTGCTATAACCTTATATTATGTGTAGTTATAGATTTACGAATCTATATATTATGACAGTTTGACGTCTCCATTGGGGATGCTATAGAGAGTTAGGCCATAATATTTTAAATTTATCCTATCTTTGATCTAATGATTTTAAATTGTAATTATTTGTTCACTAAATTTTCTTTTGTTGTCTCTCATTTGATTTATGGGGTTAAAAATTATATATTCCTTCACACGTACATTATCACATACATTTGCATTATATGAGCTTTATACTTAGGCTCCATCCCTTTTATGAAGAGTAAAGTACCTACGCTTTTGTGAGATGATAATTTCTGCAATGGCTAGGAGAATACTCCACTCAGATTGAATCCTTTTCGTTGGTAGCCTGTGATAGGTGAGGATTGAAATGCCTTACTGGTTTGTGATGGATAATGATGTAAGAAAAAATTTAAGAACCTTTAGTGGTCAAAGTCACTTAACCCAGCATATAATATGCACTTAAGAAGCCAGCCTTAAGATAGAGCCCATTTTACTATTGATAAATGTAACCGAATATAGGACACAAGAAGGAATAATTTGTGATCTAATTAGTTTATTTGTTTGACTTTGTGCATTTGCATTAGTTCAATTAGTACTTGCATTATCATATCATGCAACATTTCCATTGTCATATCTCATATGCATCATTTTCATATAAGAAATATTTGTCACATATTAGATCTCATCTATGGAAATGTACATTTCATTCATGTATTAACATACCAAACACAAAGCATAGCATTTCTAATAATTTATTATAGTACTAAGATTCAAGGATAGCTCCACCAAGCAAGAACCCCACATAATCAACTCACCAATATAATATAAAAGCTCGAGCTAAACAAATGAACAAGAAAATTTCAATCATTTCAAGAGGATAGAGAAAGATTAAGAAAAGGTTGAAGAGAAGTTGAGTAAGATTCTAGAATCCTTGAATAAATTGAACAAAAAAAATGGTATAAAAAAAATACTAGCATGTAGGACCATCCATCATAAGAAGTGGCTGACCTTTGTACCATCTTATTTTTAGGTCACATCAAGCCCAATCCATACAAGATCCAGCACCACAATAGTTCACATATCCTGTAGGGTATACATATCTCAAAAAGCTATCATCTTCAAATCTTGGGTAGTACCAGAATTATATAAATCTTGTCTTTACTAAGAAAGTAGTAGAAACAATATCAATCTTTAACTTGGATGACTTAGAGGAGAAAAAAAAGTTGGGGCCTAAGGAGAAAAAAACTTTAGAAGGCTTAAAAGTTGAACAGAAGATAAACTTATTAAAGGAAAGGTTGCGAGCTATGGAGGAATTAGTTTTTATGGTTTCGTGGATGCTGCGGGGCTCTGTTTAGTCTTAGATATTATTATTCCTTCAAAGTACAAATTGCTGGAGTTTGAAAACTATAATGGTACAAAGTGCCTAAAAACCCATATCATTATATATTGTAGAAAAATGGCTGTCCATGCTGATAATGAGAAGTTGTTAATGCAGATATTCTAAGATAGCCTTACTGGCTCTACTGCCAGATGCTATGTCTAGTTGGATAAGACTTGTATTCAGTCTTAGAATGATATAGCCTGTAACTTTATCAATTAGTATCGACATATCATATATTTAACTTATGATCGTCTGTCTTTATAAAATATAGAGAAAAATGTGACTGAATCATTTAAGAAGTATGTTAGAGGTAGAGAGACATATCTACTCAAGTTCAGTCACCTTTAATTGAGAAAGATACCACAGTATTGTTTGTAAGTATTTTGAAAATTTTCGTATTATGAAAAGATTATAGGAAATGCAATGAAAACTTCATTGATATGATAATTTCAGGAGAAATTATTGAAAATGCAATTAAGAATGGCAAGCTTCAGGAAAGGGAAACCATTAAGAAAAGAGGGTTGCCTAAAAAGAAAAAAGCTTAAGCCCAAGCTATGAATTTTGATGGGCAATAATACAGAAGCTATGCTCTATATCCACTATTAGTTCATCCTGTTTACTATCTCGCACTTAATGGCATTACGTAGGCCCCTTACTAACTATATCCATAACCAGTTTACCTATTAATCTACCAATCAACCTTTCAAGTACCTGTATCAAAACCTAACAACCAGGCAAGTGGTTTAAGGAGATTTTAGAATAATTAAGAAAGGGCATACATTGATCCTATCTTCATGACTTACATTGAGTTATTCCCAAAATTGGTTAAAAATAACTTGATATTCTAATTATTCTAGAACCATTAAAGCCACTTTATCCAAAATGGTATAATGCTAATGCCACATGCGATTATTGTAATGAAAATGTGGGTCATTCTATTGAAACCTACCTTACTTTCAAACATAAGGTGTAAATTGACGCATTACATTTTCTCTTTCATCCAAGCTATTATTCCATGCTTTGCTATTTGTCACATTTTTTTATTCCCATTCTCAAATTTCAAATGATGAATGTTGAGACAATGATAACAATAATTTTGGGATTTAATTTTGAAAACTCATTCACATTGATAAAGTTTAATTTATGAAGACTATTTGAGCAAAAAAAGTAAGTTGCTGACAGATATGCAATAAAGATATCTTGAAGATGGGTAGCTTTTATAAAGATCCATAAGATTGTTTT